TTTTTTAATGAACCGTATCGAATCAATTTGAAATGTATCATACTGACCCGAAACTGCATTTTATCCTAGTAAGAATGTATTTTTCAAGGCAGTTTTGAGCTAGCCTGATTCATCAGCCGGTTTCACTTGTGACCTTGCAGCATTAGAATGAATTCGCTTGACGGTAGGCGGGTACTTTTTTTTTTAAAATTTAACCAATCGCTGCTGTTTGGTTGTGATGTATGTAATGCACCGCTGATGGGGCTAACTGGTATATTAAGCTTTTCCCAAATCCCGTAGGCAGAAGGGCAATAACGTCTTTCCCCTTGATAAAATTCACCAAACATTGTCTTTGTTCCAGCTTTAAATCCTCGATCTTAGGAATCGTTGTCAACACTGAATATATGACTCTTCGCTGATTGGCTGGTGCCCGAACTCGCACTTCCGGGGCTTTTGCGAACCATCTAGTGCAGGGGTCAGCAACCCGCGGCTCCAGAGCCGCATGCGACTCTTTAGCACTCCCCTAGTGGCTCCCTGGAGCTTTTCAAAAATGAGTGAAATGGAATGATTTTTTTGGTTGTTGTTTTAATATGGTTTCTTTAGGGGTAAAACCCTCGTTCATCTCTGGTCATGGATCTGATCCATCAGCTGTGTGTGCAAATTCAAACACATGAAAAGTGTTTCAGCAGAACAAATAGATGAGCTGAAGCAGGGGGTGGTGTCCACCTCGGAACCAGCCGCGGTCAAGCGCGGGGGACCGGAGCAGCTCGCCCGTAGCACATTCTCGCTTTTCCTGTACGGAACCAGCGTGCAGATGACTGTACTGAAGCACTCAGACCCAGTCCTTTGCACGCTGGTTTTACTCGCCCCCGTCTGGAACCAGGACATGGAGGATGAAGCCTCCGGACAATCAACACTGGACCCCCATCCCCGTCTTGAGGGGCTGCGCGCTGACTGCTCCCATGTGTTTAGCGCTGCTGCCCGAGCTCAGAGCTTCTGCTCCGGGTTTGTTTTATGAGTGCTCGTATGCCCGATCAGAAATGCGACTGCTGCTCTGAATGCTTCCATCATCATCGTCAAAGCAACATTTAAACGTCAGTCGCACTTTCAGCGCGTCAGCTCCTAAAACTCTGTTTATCTCAGTTTACACACAAATGTGAAACCGGAGATTTCCAAAATCTGCACTCTAGCCGGAGTTTTTAGAAAGATTCGTTTTCAGAGGCGAATTAACGTGTAAACGATGTGTACAAATGAAAGGAAATGTCTCCGTTTTTAAAAATACCCGTGTATGTGCAAAGGAATAAACACTAACCACCTGATTTCAGTGGCTACAGACGGCGCACCGAGTATGAGAGGGTCGCAAAAGGGGTTTGTGTAATATGAATGCTCATTTTGTATTTGTAGCCTACTTAGTCATTTTAATAGTAGGCTTATATAGCTAATATACTGACAGGCTATGGTGCCTTCATATTAGGCTTATGTAGGGAAATGTGCCTGTTCAGGGCCTGTTCCCCCATTCTGACAGAATCCACAAACCAGGAACCTAGAGAAGTCTGTTCTGTCTGACTACCTCTTGGTATTTACAACCCCAAGAGAACCGATCTTCTGTGCTTTCACACCTCTCTTCCCCCCAAACAGTGGGACATGAATCAGAAGGGGAAATTAACATGGCTCTGCTAAAGTGATAAGGACTGTTAAATAATGACATTCCTCATTTTGCTTTGAAGAAACAGACCCCAATCATCTACATACCAGACCATCAGGCGCCAATGCTTGGACCGGTTAAAACCGCGATGGACCGCGGTTGCCCTTTGGACTAAAGGACTGGATTAAACTCATCTTGATAACTAGTTAAAAATGTTTTAACTGTGTTCTATATAAGGCTCATGTTGATGCAAGATAAGTATGCCACATTGTTTAATTCATGTGTTCATGGTGTCTTGTGTGTATTTCATGTCATGTTCCCGCGGAGGTATTTGCGATAACTTCACGGCGTGTTTTCGGACAGATATACCTTTGATTTCCCTGTATCAATCGTCGGCTAATGTTATCGTAAACAGTTATGAAGTACCTGAATGTGGAAAGTTATCAAATTAATATTTACAAATGATATTTGTACGGGGACCAGTTAAATTTGCATATAACAACGTCCACCAAGCGCACGGACCAAAACGAAGCCTCACGCGCGAAAACTTCGCCTTCGCTTCGATTTTCTTCGCTTGCCGCGAGGACCCGCCGAAGAAGACCAGGTAAGACGGGCCGGAGGGACTCAGGGGGAGATGTAACAGACCTGGAGTCGCACCTGCCGAGAGCTGAGGACCAGAGCCGGTGAAGGAGGTGTGGACCGCTCTGCCCGAGTCCCATCATCACGCTTCTGCCTGCCCGTGCGTGCGACCACGGCCGAACCCAGCCAAACGCCATAACTGAGCTAAACTGAACCCCGTTTTTATAACTACCTCAGGTCGTTAAAATCGGTGCTTTGTTGTTAGGTAATCAGAACTTGGAAGCTGGTGTCTAGTTGTTGTTTGTTAATAAACCACACAAAGGAATCTGCTGGTTTCAGTGATTTTTCTTAAAGTTATCATCAGGTCACTTTTTCGGGTACGTTCCCTTCAGATTGATTAAATTGATAAGTTGTTGTTGTCGCATATGGTTAAGTTTGATTCGGTCAAAATCTGGTGCCCCACATATGTATAATTTCAATAATTCGTCAAAAGCTAAACCACATGCTCAAACACGCACATCTTACAACACTTTAAGTCGCATTTCTCCTACACTTATATAAGGCTTTTCATTTTGTGCGGCTCCAGACAGGTATGGTTTTTGTTTTTTTGAGCCAATATGGCTCTTTGAACATTTTGGGTTGCCGACCCCTGATCTAGTGTATTCTGATTCCTGACCTAGTCGCTGGAGAGAAATGAAATGGAGCAGAGGCACTAGGTGGCACCAGCCTGGTTACTTTTGAGCAATAGTAATTCAGTAAAAGCAAGCTGGATAAGTGTCATAAATGTCATACTGTGGCATACTTTCAGGCAAAGCAATAACATCTCCATGGAGGCAAAATGGGGCGGACCTTCCAACATAAGTTACTCAGGACACCTTTTTAAAATAATAAAAAATTGAATAAAAACGTTGCATAGTCCTTGGTAAAGATTTCGATAAATGACTGAATATTTGTTATTAGGACATCTTGTTTCTTGTCTCACCAATGACATTTAAGATGCTGTGTCTGTTTACCTTGTATTTTCATCTGTCTGTCATCGTTCGCTGTAGATGTTTTAAATTGCTGATCTTTTTGACCCCAGGATCCATCAATCATCACTTAAGAGCCTTTACAGCAGTGAGTGGGCTGCCAATGTTTTGGTTACCATGACTTTGGTGGACAAATAAAGTATTTTTGCGCGATGACTCATAAAATTATCATAATTTATCACATCTCGCGGTCTTGTATTTGGTGTGAGAGAAAAACCTGATCTGAAACAAGCAGCTGTGAACAGTTTCTTGACTTTGTATATCTAGGTTTTATTTCAGCTTCCCTCTCAAAATGAGACAATTTTTCTGTTCATTATCACTGAAGTTGACTAAAGACTGGCCCTGTGCATCAGTTAAATCGCTAAAAGGGAGTGTGATGTAGTGCTGCCTAAATCTCTCAGAAATATTAGGATCTTGCACAAAAAACTTTTGTAAATGGAGAATTAAAAGAAGTAGATGTAGAAGTAGAAGGAAATAGAGAGACTGCATCTTTATCAGTGAAACGGCAGATTAAACTGTCTGGTCACGCCCAAAACTCACATTAACTCACTGTAAATAATCCAAATTGAGGTGACGGAAAGTAGATTACCGTTTTTTCTTACCAATTTATTTATGTCACTAGAGCTAATGTGCACATTCTTCTCTTGTACGAACTCATTTCAAAGTTTAATTGTGTATTTCTCCAGAATTATTGGTCATATCAACACAGAATAAAAACTGCAGGGATTCTGACACCCTGCTCTTTATTCCCAAAGTCCACCTGTCTTTATTTTCAATGAAAGAAGAACTGAAGATAATCAAATTAAAACTCAAGATTGATCAGTATGGGGAGAAAAACAATTGTGATTTTTTTTTTTTCTCCATTTCATCCTACCTAGTGCCTCTGCTCAATTTAATTTCTCTCCAGCGACTAGGTCAGGAATCGGAATACACTAGACAGTTTGCACGAACCCCGGAAGTTGAAGACCGTGCACCGACCAATCAGTGAAGAGCTGAACCAATCTGAGTTGCAATGGCAGACTGCATACGTTCTCCTTTGGACTTCCTTTGTCAAATACAAACTTTGCATTTTTTATTGCACCTTTAATTTGCAATTTCATCTCACAGAAACGACCATGATCGTTGACAGACTTCTCTGCTTCATGACTCTCTGCTTTGTTTACTGTTGTGCTGGGAATTACTTGGACACCACTGAGCGTTCCGGCACATTTACATACGTCACGACCAAATAGAAGCAATTGGTTAAATTAAAAAAAGTACCCGCCTACCGTCGAGCCAACGAATCCTAATGGTGCGTTGTCAGACGATTTCCATGAAGTGAAACCGGCTGATGAATCGGGCTAATATTACCCAGCCCTAATCCCAAATAAAATAATTTGTCGGCCATCAAGAAATTTGATTATGTCAATGGTATCTTGATCGACTATTGCCACAGTAGGATCTCCACAGGAATTTTGTTTACCATTCATTAACAAAAATATAATTTGTGACAATTCATAACTCATCATTTTCTACTCAATTTATTTTCAATATTTTATCTCAAAATTCTTGACAAAATGACTCCCATGTTTCCTATTGTAGCTACATTTACAGATTTTTAACAGTATTTTCATATTACAATATTTATTTTTAGTTTGTTCTCAAGATTTATTTTCAGATAATGAGTTCAGGTGGAAAAATGGCTGACCAAGACATTTTTCTCTGCATGTTGTTTGCTAGTATTTGCAAATTGCACAGTGAATGAATTGCCTTATTCTGTTTCCCTGCAGCGAACACATACTTCTTCATGGTGCAGGCTCAGGGCATCATGTTGAGGGATAACGTGCGGACCATAGGACAGATGATCCGATTGTACACCAACAAGAACAGCACTCTCAACGGCACTGGTGAGGAACACGTCGAGGTTTATAAATATATGTACTAAGAGGTAAACTAGGCTAACATTGCCATAATAAATGCATTTCCAGACTATCCCGACGGCACAAACTCCAGTGAACTCCTGGTCCAGCCAACGACATACCTCCCAGAGAACTTCACCTACTCCCAACACCTGCCCTGTCCGGAGAGATTACCTTCTATGAGTGAGTGGACTCTTAGGAAATTATCTTAAAAAGTGGAACTAAACACTAAATCATTTTATTTTTGTTACTTAACTCTCTCTGTAGTGTTTTATTAACATTATCTACTGTTCCTAGTCGTTTTTGGCATTTTTGTGTTTTGTGTGTGCTGCATCAAGTGGCCACTGCAATTTTCAAGTACTACATGACATCACACAGGACTGCCCTATTTAAAGTCAAATCTAAAGTTTCTGATAACAAACTCCTGACTTTTTTTTTGTCCTTCAGGCACTGCCTAAGTTAGCAGTTCTTTCTGAAATGTGGTGGTGGGAGGTGTTCAGTCCCACTTTAATTAAGAATACTGTTACTATTAATATTTTTCAGGTACCATTTAAAAACTAATGACTCAAATAATTACTCAAATAATGAGAAAGAGGTATTTCATGAGCTACTACTTGCTGTATTGAGTAACTTTTTAGCATAACATATGATTTATCAATAAATTAATAACAATTAAAAGCAAAAAATACATATATATTTAATACATATACAGTATTTGAAAAAAAGTTTGAAGAAATTAATGTTCCTCACAGTGATAAGTTAAAAAAAAGTAAACTTTGACTCAAGGGCAATAAAGTACCAAGAGTTATTAAAGTAATTACTACCCACTGTTTCAATTAGTGCTTAGACCCACTCCTGCTTTTTTATTAGTCCAAACTTTTTAAAATGTGTGACACTTTTCTTGAGAGAAATGAAATGAAAATTAAAGTCCTTCTCCTGTTCTCCACAGAGGGACTTATGGACGTGAACATGACAGAAATCCCCATTGAGGAGACAGAGCTCAAGTTCTCCAAGTTTTTTGACATAGAGTTTGGAGGTCACTGGAAACCAAAGGACTGCAGGCCTCGCTGGAAGGTGCGTGTACCTCACTGTAGTAGTGCAAGACCACATGGGAACACTGAAGCTTTTATTTTTGTGTTTTTAAAAGAGGATTAGGCCTGTATTGTTTACTATGATAATATGGAGATGGCAAAAAAAAAAACACTGAAATTTAGTGTACTTCATTTTATTTTTAATTGTGGTATCAGGTGTTGAGTTCATCCCTACACCAAAATTTCAAGTTCGTTTAGATCAGGGGTGCTCAATATGTCGATCGCGATCTACCAGTCGATCGCCAAGGTCGTGTGGGTAAATCGCCGTGTCTCGTCTCGGACTCACGTTTGGACTCGGTTTTGTCTCTCACTCAAGGTCTGACACTCAACAAGTGCGATCATATTTCATTATGGCTGCTGCTGTTGACAATAAATTTGTAGCGGGGTGCAGGAGCGTGTGGGGCATCTCAGTGCAGCCCGCGGAGACTCTACGGCACATCGCAAATACACACGCTCCCTATGCACTTTAAGTTCTCTTAAACGGCGTGTGCCCTCGTGTACCAGTGCGCATCACAGGGCAGGTTCAACTTCCTAAACATCCTACCTGTCCATCTGCCTCACGTCAGCACGCCGCCCCTCGCCTTTTCACGCTCTCGCTCCTTCCGTCGTATAGCGAAAACAAGCCCCTTCCACAGTGCGGCTGATTAGAAGAGCAAGACCAAACGTGAAGCAAAAACTAGTCTAAATTTGTGTTCCAGTGTTGGAAAGCAAAGCAGGTCTACAGCATAGAGCAGACCTACAGAACAGACCTACTGCCACATTTGACTGAAGTTCGCCTAACAAAAGTACACAAATGCATCTGTGTTTGTCACGATGTGCGTTTGGTTTCATAAACGTGCAGAGGCTGGTAAATATCACTGCAAAACCAGAAAAGAATGCAACTCCAGTTTGCAACATTAAAAAACAGGTTTAAAAATCTTCCTTCACTTTTTTCACAGTTTTGTGTAAAGTGCCAGAGGAAGTTCTCTTAAAGAAGGGGTTCTCAAACTGTGGGTGAGGGTCCAGAAAAGGGGCACAGAGTGTTTCAGTGCAGTTTGCTTGGCTTTGTATTAGGTAGATCTTTATGACTTGGTCATTTTGTAAGTAGCTCGCACGCTGAAAAAGTGTGAGCACCCCTGATTTAGATAATATATTTCTTGATCTATTTGTGTGTTCTTATTTTTAGGTGGCGATCCTAATTCCATTCAGAAACCGTCACGAACATCTGCCAATCCTCTTCCAACACCTCATCCCCATGCTGCAGAGACAAAGGCTGCAGTTTGCCTTCTACGTTATTGAACAGGTAACAGGCTTTAAATTTCATCTATAATGCAAATGTAATGTAATTTATGTTTCCCAACAATACTAAAGGTGTTTTCCATTTGTTTTAATGCTTCCATGTCAATAAACGATAATACTGAAACTACTTTGTGCCACTGAAACAATAACAATTAAGCAACATAATCCCAGTAAACCATTTACGTAGACCGCATCATTAAAATGTCTGAGCTAAAAGGTCTGCTATTATCACTCAATAATTAGCCGTAGAAGTCACTTATTCAGCCTTTTACAGATCAAATGTATTTATAGTATTACAGCAAAAACACCCTAAATCTCCCCAAAGTTACAAAGAAAATGTTTTTATGACAGAAATCCCCATTGAGGAGATGGGGATTTCTCCTCAGTGGGGAAATGTAAATGTATTGTTCCAGCTTTCATATATTGAACGATGAGTCAGTATAGTATTTATTCTAGATGTCAGTATGCAAATAGTTGGCTTTACTTGACAGGCAGTGTTGAAAAGGGTACTGAAAATGTGAACTCCAGCAGTTACATAGTTTATAATGTACTCAATTAGAAGTACAAGTACTGACTGCCAAATTTGTACCTAGTTAAAATTTCGTATGAAAAATACTACAGCACCAGTTACTGTAGTATGTTGGTTAGTTACTTTTTTTAAGCTTAATTTTAGATCAGTCTTTAATACAAGAACTGACCAATGATGCTGTGTACTGACCTTTTAAAACTAATTTTAAACCACTGTCCATATTTTCTCTGAGCTTTGACCAGTCAGAGCAGTGTGTGTGTGGATATAGAAGGAAGGAGAGAGTGAGACAGGTATGCTGTAGGTCAGGGGTCAACAACCCCCGGGCCGAGGGAGGGAAGGGGAAGTTTGCAAAAGTGCATTCGTGCACCTCTCTAAACCAGAACTAAAACCAGGACTAAAACCAAAACAAAAACCAGGACTAAACCTGGTCTAAACGAGAACTAAAACTAGAACTAAAACTAGGTCTAAAGCTAGGAATGAACCATGTCTAAACCATGTCTAAATCATGTCTAAATCCTGTCTAAACAATGCCTTAACCAGTTCTAAAACCAGGACGAAACCCAGGACGAAACTCAGGACTTAAACCAGGACTTAAACCCAGGACTTAAACCCAGGACTTAAACCCAGGACTTAAACCCAGGACTTAAACCCAGGACTTAAACCCAGGACCTAAACCCAGGACTTAAGCCCAGGACTTAAACCCAGGACCTAAACCCAGGACCTAAACCCAGGACCTAAACCCAGGACCTAAACCCAGGACCTAAACCCAGGACCTAAACCCAGGACCTAAACCCAGGACCTAAACCCAGGACCTAAACCCAGGACTTAAACCCAGGACTTAAACCCAGGACTTTAAACCAGGACTTAAACCCAGGACTTAAACCCAGGACTTAAACCCAGGACTTAAACCCAGGACTTAAACCCAGGACTTAAACCCAGGACTTAAACCCAGGACTTAAACCCAGGATTTAAACCCAGGACTAAAACGAGGATTTAAATCAGGACTAAATCAGGACTAAATTAAGACTGGACTCCGCACCTCCTCAACGCCCCAGTCTGCTAAATATTGTCAGACATAAAACCGGTCCGTAGCGCAAAAAATGTTGGGGATCACGGTTTTAGATAATTAGGATTTGTACAAAACTTGGTAACTCCTATGTAGGCAGGGGACGATATGGAAATTTGCTGTCACAGTTATCATGGCCAAAATAATTACGTTTAACGATCATGTCACGATAATTATTGAAGTCGAATTATGAATAATTATAATTTTAATGTCATGAATATGCTCCATGTAAAAGCAGCTTTTAGATAATTGTACTTTGTTATAAGTGAAAACAATCACTAGAAGAGATCATGATAGATAAGGAGCTTTTTTCTCCACATTTTGATGATTTATGGTGATTATCTTTGTTGGCGATTATCACGATTATATAAAATGTCCCACAAACAATTATTGTCTACCCCTTTATATCACGTCCCTACTCCTGTGATTCTATGAAAGTACTAAGAAACAATGTATTTATACGAAGAATCATGGGTTTACTCTGCCTTTTTTACATATAAATACCAAATAATACCAACTTCTCCTTTCCACTGTTGTCCCATATACATTTTTAAAATAATACAAATGATTTGTTGCGTTCAGAGCGGGAGCCAGCCTTTTAACCGAGCCATGCTGTTTAATGTGGGGTTCCTGGAGGCCATGAAGGACCTGGACTGGGACTGCCTCATCTTCCACGACGTCGACCACATCCCCGAGAACGACCGCAACTACTACGGCTGCGGACACATGCCTCGCCACTTCGCCGCCAAGCTCGACAAGTACATGTACATGTGAGTACAACGTACACATGCGATGGGTTTACATGTAAAAATGCAATGACTTACTAGTGGATTTCCTGGAGACTGATCCTAAATTTAACTATAGTTTGCTTTCCCATATCTGACCTTTTAATGGGCCCATATTACGCGTGTGTGAATGAAACAAAACACAACTCTGGGTATGTTTTTGAAGAGTTAACAAGACTCTAACATGACTCAAAGCTCACAGGAGTCAATTTTGTGTTTTATAGGACCTTTTAAATTGCAGTTGTTTTAATATTAACCTGATATCCAAACATGTTTTAGTTTGAACTTTGAGCCCCTTCCACTTTCTGCCACTGTACTATTGCACCACGAAACAGAGACAACTGTCTGTGTGACATGATGCAATTGTTTCCTTACAGTTCTCCAATTTCTGCCTGCTATTTCCTGTCAGGCTGTTCGTTTCCCATGATTCTCAGTGACAATTTGCCTAACTGGAGGGAAAAAAAGCAACTCTGGCAGTAGCATGTGTATTAGTGATTACCCATGGATCTATAATAAGAACTGGATAAGACATTCCCCCTTTGTCCCAGCTCGAGGCCGACTAGTGGCCGCTCCAGGTACTGCAGCTCCTGTGAGCTTTGGCCCAGAAAGAAATTCTCCTGTAGAAGCACAGTGCAGTTTTTGGGAATTCAAACTGCCCATGTTCGGCTGACAGGGCATCCACAACTTTCACAAAGGTCGGATTTTGTAGGGATTTTTTTTCTATTTTCACAACATAAACTTTTCAAAATTTTTAAATCCTCAAAGCGCCTTAAAGGTAGCTTTGTAAGACTCTGATGCTTTAATATTTAGTTTGAATTAGAGCCCTGCCCGGGACCTGCGGGATTTGACACAAAACAGTGCGTCATGGGACATATTTTGAAAGCTCATTGTAGGCACGGGCGGGACCACAAACTAAACATGAGTGTAAAGTAAAATATACAAATGATTCATCTGTGCCTACCATACATCATTTCTGCTGGATATTTTATTTGGCATTAAAAAAACACTTTAAGTAGCCTAAATTTGTGGATGTGGTCTAATCTCGCGCACATTTTAGACAATTCTTTTCCACTTCTCTGTGTTTGATAGATCTTAAGAAAGCAAACGTCACCATTTTGCCAAACTTGCGGGCAGGAATGGGATTGCATAATGCTGGTGCGGGCAGGAGGGGGACTTTAAAATTCTGTCCCACACAGACCTCGCGTTTGAAAACTAAAAGACGCTCTGAGCCCGTGCTTGCTCCATTGTAGAAGCTCCCGCTCTGATTGGTCCAAACGCTCCACGCCGTGCATGTTATAGACGACACACGGGTGGGAGGAAGAAGTAATGCAGAAGACAAAATTTAGTTTTTTGCTCATATGCCAATGAGCACAGGCCATTGAAAACAATATGATGTCATCTTGTCTTTACCTTCCAGATTTTATTATAGTTCTGTGTTATTACCTGAGAAAATGCTATATAAAATAAACAGTTCACATTTTCCAGTCTCATTTTTAGCATAGAATTCATAATGTAGAGAGCATTGACATGAATAAATTAAAATCAGCTACTTGCCCTTTAAAGGATTTACATCGGGAACCAGATTTTTGTCCCCATAAAGAACTTTGTATGCAGATTTTACTCCCTACAGTGTGATAAATACCAGCCTAGTTAGACACGGGGGAAAAAAATACTAAAGCAAAGCAGCAAGTACTTAAACAAATTCATCAATCGGATACCGTACTCTGTTACCATAGATTCGAGCCGCAGCTGTTTACTGTGTCTTGGCTAATGCTGCAGTTAAGACCCAGAGCAGCCTAAACACTCCAGAGGCTCCGCAGATGCTAAAACACTAATTATAACGGAGAAAGGATTTATGTAACCCCAACAATATTTACATTTAGGCTTTCAAGTATAAGCAGAAGTTTGCCAAAATGAAAAACATCAACACAGACTTGTTGTATTCTGCGTAATTGGTTATGTACTCAGTGGCTTAGCAACCTCTTACTGTTTTTGTTCACACACTGGGGCATAGGCTCTACCCTGAGACCAAGTGACCTTATTTGACCGAAACTTGGTACCAGAGGAACACTATTCAAAACACTGGAGGGTTCCATGATATTTTAAGAATCTCAATATTGTAATCTCACTAATACCTCGCTGCTTGTTAAAGTGGTTCCAAATCAGAAGTGATTGTCAAGTATTTGCAAAAATATTGAAATATCGATATATCGTGAAGTGATACTAAATGTGGTGATACCCTATTTATATGGGGGGCTGCTGTATCGATATTTCGCAAAGAGTATATTTTGGTATCTTTTTAAGGATGTTTTTGCGACCACACGATGCAATACACTTGACATTTTCACTGTTTTGATGATTAAAATAAATGTATTTCAATTTTAACTTTGTATAAGTAGTAGGGCTGGGGATCATTAAGAATTTACGATACATACCTCGATACAGTGCACTTTCGATTCGATATATTTCAAATTGATTCAATGCAGTTCAATAAAAAAAAAAGCTAAATGATGGCTGTGATACTAAAAGTCTTTGTGTTTCATATGAACTTTGCATAAGAAGTGGTTTAACAAATATTTTAATCCTCAAAACAGTGAATTTGTCAAATGTGTTGCATAGAAAAATGTGACCATAAGAATTTCTTTTCTCTAAACAAGCAACAAAACTGTAGCGCTCTAACAAAATAATTTAGTAAAATATACCAAAAAATACTCTTAGCAATATATATCGATACAGCAGCCCACAATATCAATACTGTATCATCACATTAAACGGCATTTCAATCGATATTTTAATATTTTTGCACACCCCTAACAAGAAGTGGTTTAAAAAAACAAGAAGTGAATTACCAAAGAAATACTGTCACTAAAATATTGTTGGTTCTTAAAAAACAACAATATATCACATGCAAAATATCAGTTATCATATGTATTGCCATTCGTGGAAATATCGTTTTGTTAGTTATGTATAGAGTATCATATTGAATCGTGAATTTCCACCCCTGGGCCCGGTCAAGCAGAAGTAAACCGCAAGGCCAAAAATGCAAGGTAATGCATCTGATATAAAAATGTATTCAACAGATAGCATATGTACTCTAGTTTATGAAACTGTTTAACTTTAGAACCAAAAATGGTACAGAAAAAAGGTACATACGTTTTAAACAGACCATGTATGCAACATGGAACAAAAATTATTTCCCAAATTTCAAAGACCTGCAAATCATGTAAATAAATGGATGTATTTCATCATATCTTGTGTTATTCCATCTTTGAACTGTTGATGAAGGTACATGATTTAAAAAAAAAAAAAAAGTATTTAAAATGATAAAAAAATTTGCTTGGAAGGACTGACATATTTTCTAGAAATAGTTTCCTTTCATTTTTAAGTAATATTAAAGTATTAGGAAGAAAAAAGCTGAGAAATTATGCAAAATCATGCACCTTCTACTTGCTTGCACAATTTTCCCTCCATTACTTTTCCCTCTGTTACCATGACCTTTCTTAATAAAAAATCTCATGACTCAAAAAGTAAGAGGTTTTTCAAGCTAATCTTGTACCATATGGTAGAAAACTATATGAACCAAATATTCAAACCAGTTTGTTAAGGATATGTAAGTGAGAACCACTAGTTATCACTGTTTGTATTTATTGCCCAAAAAGTGCTACACATTTCATTCCCTCCGTTACCGACATGAGTTTTAAAATTTTTTGTCAACAACTTGAAAGAATTTGGCAGGTTTAACTTTACCCTGTTGGAGTGTTAACTCTTTCCTACATTCTGATATCTTACTTATTTCAATAGTCCCTCTAGTTTCTGAATAAGAGCTATTTGAATGTAAAAAATCTGCCCCTGTTTCCCTCTGTTACTGCTTGACCAGACCCCCCTACTGATAAAACTAGCTACTACTTTCCTAAACATTCCATTGAAATCTCCTTAAATCTGTGCTATGCAACTTTTTTCTGTAGATGTTATTGCATTTGGAGTATTTCCCAGTATGGCATTAAGCATATCTTAATATCTTATAACATTTTTACAGTGAGTGGGGTCGCCTCTCCACAAATCTGACCTGTAATTTGGCCTTTTGGCATCAGCTTTATGACTCCATGGAGATAAATGGGTTCAGTGCTGTACAGTGGAACATTTTTAGGAAAGCAGTAACATCTCCATAGAGACAAAGCAGGCATTGGACTCTTTACATGAAAAGTATTGCACATTTTAAACCAATGTCTTGCTTTTTTGTTTTGTTTTTTTCCAGTCTTCCATACAGTGAGTTCTTCGGCGGTGTGAGCGGCCTGACGGTGGAGCAGTTCAGGAAGATTAACGGTTTCCCCAACGCGTTCTGGGGCTGGGGAGGAGAGGATGACGACTTGTGGAACAGGTCAGTCCAGTGTGTGACGTGGAGCCATTACGAGAGGCAGCTTTGTCTTCCCAAATTAGGTTTGTCAGCGCTCCGCAGTAAAACAGATGCTTACTGTCTTCGTGGTTATTTTAAACTTGTTTGGCTCTAGCTTTTTGCGCTAATGGAGATTCACTTGAACATGCGGTTTTACCCTAGATAGCCTCTCGCATAGATTAGAGTGGAAAAGCTGAAAGTGTACTAGCTCTTTTAATAATGGTGCTATTGAAAAAGCAGAATAGAGTCTGTTAGGGGCACTATGTCAGTTTCTGAGTATCTGAAACCTTCTTTTCTTCCTTGAAATGTTCCTTTGCCTGGATTTTTCTCCACAATAATATAAAAAAAAAATCATTGAAAAAAAATTACATTTAATATCTTTATATCATACTGTGGAACATTTCAGGCAAAAGCAATAATATTTTCACAAGACAAGGGCATTGTAGCACAGCACTCTTGCCTTTATAGCAAGAAGGTCCTGGGTTCAATTCATATTTGTGTGTGGAGTTTGCATGTTCTCCCCATGTCTGCATAGGTTTCCTCCAACACTAAAGGCATGTACAATAGATCCCTCTGAAAAAAAAATCTTAATGTTAATGTCAGCAGGACTATCCTGGTTAAATAATGATCAGTAAATATGTATATGTGAGTTGTGTCCCATTAAAAAGGTATAACAAAATAAACTTGGACTTAGACAAACTTTATTGATCCACAAGAGAAATTATTTGGACACTATAGCTCAAACCTCACAATATATTCATTCCAATTCAATTCACTTTATTTATACAGCACATTTCACAAACTGTTTCCAAAATGTGGCACAAATACGTAATAATGACAACAATAATAAAATGATCAAATAAATGTTCAGATTTAATCATACAAATCTTAAATTAATAAAACCAGTAAAATAAAATAAGAGCAAAATCATAGAATAGCAATAAATAAATAAAGCCAATAAAATTAAGTTAAAATTAGTTAAAAATAAATAAAATTAATAAAAGACACAGAGGACCACACAAATTGCGCGGTGTTAAAAGCCAGAGAATAAACCTGTGTCTTAAGACGAGACTTAAAACACTCCACGGTAAGAACTGGGGCAGAGCATTCCAGAGTTTAGGGCCACAGAGAAAGCCCTGTCCCCCTGGTTTTAAGTCTCGTCTTAGGCTACACAAGCTGGAACTGGCCCTCAGACCTCAGAGCGCACGCGGGGGTGTACATTTAGATGAGGTCCGAGACGAACTGTGGGGCCAGTCCATTCAAAGCTTTAAAAACTAACAATAAAATCTTATGTAATATAATATAATATAATAACAAATACAAAATATATAAATGGTAATAATAAACTCCAAATAAGTAACAAAAAAGATGTCAAGAGACAGGTGTTAAATAAGATGTCTTATTTAAATGTATATGTATATGTACAAGTCAAAATAAAATTTAAAGATAAGTAATAAAATGATATGTAATAAAATATAAAATCTCAGCTTAATACAAGAGGTCATAGAAAAATAGTGCAACAATAATATGATGATTGACAGGACACAGGGTTATCTGTTACATAAGGGTGAGTTGTTGTACAGTTGTAGGGAGTATTATCTGTTACATAAGGGTGAGTTGTTGTACAGTTATAGGGAGTATTGTATGAATGTAGTCCTGTAACTCTCACTTTTTCAGTGGTTTGAGCGGAGCTGTAGGAGTCTGTCAGGAAAGGGAGGATTGTTTCAGTCGCTCCAAACATCTTTATTAATCACAGCAACAGAACTGAAGTTGGGATTTTGGTTCAGGAAGAAACTGATACAGCAACGAACAGGGGCAACAGTGGCTTAAGTAGTGGGAGTGTTTGTTCATTAACACAATATCAGCAAAATCCTCTATGTTTGTGTACCAGGCTGCACAACATCCACAGAGATTAGGGGTGTAACAATATCCAAGTCTAACCATACGATATTGTCACAGTATGAACCTCACGGTACGATATTTATAGTGATATCGTGGGAAAGCTCAGGATATGATTGGGAGGTATTATTATGATATTATACATAATAACAAGACTGACGTTATAAAATGCTTTGACCAGTCATTTGGTACAACATTTATTGTCATATTCTAGGGATGTAACAATATCCAAATCTCACAGTACGATATTATCACGATATACATCTCACGATACGATATTGAGATATTTCGAAGAGGCTAATATAATTGTAGATGGGACACTTTTTTTGCTTTTAAAATACCTTGACAAGATATTGGTGTGAATTATTACTGTCATAATCCCAAGAATTCAAGTAAAAAACATATATCTTCATGTTCGCACTGAAAATGGATCATGGGATATGTAGTTCCCGATATTCATAAGCTGTTGCTACTATAAAACCATGCATTTAAGCCAAGAAACTTGTGATTCGATATGTTGTGACAGCCCACGATATTATTGTGAGACTTTTGATGATACGATATTACAATATTTAGGTTATTGTTATATCCCTAATAGAGATGCAATTGCCAAAACATAAAAAAATAAACAACCTGCTGCTAAGTCACTACAGGTAAATACTTTTAAATTATTATTTTTCAGCTTCTTAAAATTTCCATCAGGATAAAATCAAGTCCTTGAGCTCTAAAGTTCAGTGTCTCTGTATTAAAAAACCTTTTGTGTTTTTGATCAGGGTCCACTACGCTGGTCTGAACGTGACACGCCCTGAAGGAGAGCTGGGGAAGTACAAGTCCATCCCTCACCACCACAGAGGGGAGGTGCAGTTCCTGGGCAGGTGAGACCGGCCAGACTACAGAATAGTTTGTCTTTATAGGGAGGGTAGAGCCTTGCGAGTTTAATCATTCTACCGTGAAGCTCTACACTCTCACTTCCCTGTTCCCTGCACGCAGCTATAAAAACCCTGATCTGATCTCGAGATAATTTGAATTTATTTAAGGACTATGCTGTGAGTCAAACCAAATACTGCATTTCTGAGTTGTCATTGTGCAGACTCAGAGCAAGAGGGGAAACTACTGTGCACTATAACACATGCTGCCACATGTTTTCTTTTTCTTTTTTTTTCTTTTGAGTCTCTGAAAAGAAGCCAGTTCTAATGTCATAGTACCTCAGAGTTTAGCAGCTGTAAACCCTTTGCAACATATGGTTATCTCCAGGCAAAGGCAAATGCTAATCTTAGGCATTTGTTTTTGAAATGCAGTCGATCCCTTGTAGACGTGGGAAATATATCAATGAGATCAATGAGGTATAATGAATGCTACTAAAATATTAATAAAAATGTATTTCAATCAGGGTGAATTAAACAGAGTAATTATTTATGGACATGGTGTATTTACATGCAAACATGCTGTACATTACCTTGTATTAGAATCCTGCTTTTGTTACAGTGAAAAGATGGCAACAATTTTCATTATCAGTCTAGCTGTCATTACATCTCATTGAGCAAAATAATATCCTAATTATTGCTTGTTGTTAATGTTACTGAGTCTCAATCAAGCCATGTTCAAACTACTGTATTTTTTCAGAAGTCACTCCAGAGTAGTCTCATCAGCCAAAAAGTGCATAATGAAGAAGAAAAAACATATATAAGTCGCACCAGACTATAAGTCTCTATTTTGAAATGTATTTTATAAAATCCAAGACCAGGAACTGACATTTCACCTTTGAAGGCAAGTTATAGTAACAACAATAGAACAGGGAACAGGCTGTTAACGTAGCATATTACCAAACTCTTGATCTCACTCCAAATCACTAAATCCATTGAATTTTTCATCCTCTGTGTCACTTCTGAGCAACTCCACGACCTCCAGAGGTAAACAGAGCACCGCTTCCTCTTCTGTGTAGCTGTTGTCAGACTCGGCATCAGTTCCAGTTAGACTTATTCCGGCCTTTCTGAATCCCAACAGAATGGTTTCTATTGTCTGAAGTCCAGGCGTTGTCGATCCACCCACTGACTTCCAGGAAAGTTGCATGGCGCACTTGTTGTCACATGTTTCTCACTCGCTCCAAACTTTCTTACTGCTGCTCGATTACTCAATTACCCTTTTTGGCTGCATAATTCCCTTCTTGCAGCTTGTAATCTGCAAAATATGATTTTCTTTTTCGGGGCATTTGTGTTCAGTTTGTTTAAATAAAAAATGTTCAGTGGTGCAGAAGTAATGGTGCGATCGACTGACATTATACAGACAGGACAGAGGCTCTTTCTGCAGGAGAAGTGTGCAGTAGAGCCAAGTGACAGTGGTACAGGAATCATAGGAGCAGCAGATACTGACACACAAATCTAGAGTGCCCTCTTCTGGCTGTGAGTGTGAAAATTTTAATATATTTAATAGGTTGCACTGGAGTGTAAGTTGCAGGACCACCCAAACCATGAAAAAAGTACTTGTATATTAAAGCCAATTTGTTTGTTTTTATCTAACAGACCAGTTTGTTTTTGTTGATTTACTTTGGCATGTTTTGACAGTTTGTAGTCGTCATCAGAAGAGTCGCAAGCTGTTGCTGTGACTTGTCTTGTGGGCTGATTTTGTTTTTGCCGCTTGTATTCTTTCCGGGAGAGGAAAGACGACAGCGCCCTCTGCAGTCGGACTTCCTCAGAACAGTATCCCAAGTGTGAGAAAGCAAGTGTGTGTAAATCCACTCGCAAGACACACCACAGCAACATCACGTAAATAAAAAAGTCATTTGAAGAAAAAAACATTTGAACCTTTTTGGGTTAAACTTCTCAGCCATCTCCACCAACTGCTTGTTGCCACGAAGATTATCTGGAATATTCCGCAGTAGGGCATTAATCTCCGTGGAGAAAGCAGGCGGTAACACCAAGCCAAATTACTGGTTACATCCGTGGAGAGGCAAAGTCACTGTCAGTTGTCAGTTTTTCAAGGTACTTTCAAGCAATAAAAACACACCTAATGAAATAAATACTAGATAGATATATTTAAAGCTATACTCTGGGGCATTTTAAGCAAAGCAATAACATCTCCATGGAATAGGGTGATCACAATACAATATTTTCACGATATGCATCTCACGGTATGATATTTATTGTGATATTTGTGGAGGCTAACAAAACTCTGAATATGGTACTTACTTCTTTCAAAACATTGATACTGTTATAATGGTACCGTTGTAATATGAAGAATTAAGATTTTAAAGTGTTATTAATGTTAAGTCTGCATTGACAACACCAAAGGATCACGGTCTATGTAGTTCCCTCTGTTTTCTTTAGCTATTGCTGCACCATAACAATGAATTTAAGTAAAGAGACTTGTAATTCGATAGATTGTGACGGTTCATGATATTATTGTGAGACTTTTGACAATACAATATCACTATATTTCGATTATTGTTACATCCCTAGGGAGCAGACATCTCAGTTTACCCAGGACAGTCCCAGTTTTGAACCCTGTGTCTCCTGTCCCGGCAGCTTTATCCAAAACCACTGATTTGTTGTAGTTTTGTACAAAAAATGTCCCAGGTGTCGATATTTTTGACCAATCTGATCCCTGCCAACAGTAAAGAGAGGCATAAATTGTTTTGTTTTTTTCAGTAAAATACAGAAAAGCTGCTCAAAAATGATCAAAACACAAAGAAAATATGACTATACTGATGCATTTTTCCTTCATTACGCACTTTCACAGTTTTATTATTACCAACCAAACCAAACCAGGGATGCTACACAATGCACCTTTAATGTTGCTCACCACCACATTATTTGTACCCAATAATCTTTGTGTTTTCAGGTACAAATTGCTGAGGTACTCCAAGGAGCGCCAGCACTTGGACGGCCTCAACAACCTGCACTACAGCCCCATGGTGACGCTCAGCAGCCTGTACAAGAACATCAGCGTGGACCTGTCCCCGGAGCTCGCCCCCATCCAAGACTACTGACCCCTACATGACCCCAACACGACCTCACCATGACCTCCACAAGCCCCGCCCCCACGCGCCCCTCCAGCCAACCGGAGCGGAGAGAGGACGCAACAGGACAGATGCAACAAGTAATGCTGCCAAGAGATAAAAAATACAAATCCAAAAGAGGAAAAAAATGAGGAGAAGAAATAAGTAATACTGAGGCGCAGGAGAGCTTTTTTGCAGAGAACAGTGCTGTGTGTTGAGTGAGTGCGTGACACGGGCGACTGCATGTCCTTTCTGTGCCGGCTTTCCCCCCCTCCTCTGGCCCCTGGTCCCTGGTTCTTTCGGAGGAGCAGCAGCATCTGAGCTCCAGAGTCTCCTGAAGCCTTAACGTGGCAGAACCGGCTCCGCACTGCTTCACTTCACCGTAGAAGCCAACACCAGTTTTGTCTTTTATTTTTATACATATCAGTTGTTAGAGGCCGAGCGCTCCGCCAAACAGGATCTGAGCTAGGTCAATAGAGATATTTGTGATGTACATTTTTTATGATTTTGATAAATGCTATTTATTTTCTGGTGGTGGGGCCTTAGAGAAGCGCTCCTCTGCTGTTTGTTTTCGCTGCACTGCTGCTGATCCGCATGAATATGTATGTAAATATCAACAGAACACATGTGTAAATATTGGCCTTTAATGCTCTGACATTATCCAGCGATATTCCAGTGAGTTTGACTTTTATTTTGGCAGCTACCTTCTTTCTGAGGATTTCATAAGCGTGAGTGGTTTCTTCCACACAGGAAGACGTTTGTTTGGCTTAAAAAATATCCAAATCTAAAGATTTGACTTTATCTTTTGCATGCCTTAATTTATTTTGTTTACCAGATGTTTTGTTTTCTTTGAAACATAAATTATTTCCTCTGTTCAAGATGTACATATATATATCTATATATATTTTATTTTAGCCTTTCTGCATTTTCTCTTTGAGGTGCACTGTGTGACGAGTGTAGCTGCTCCAGAGTGGGGCTGCGCAGATGGAAATGATCAAACCAAAATGAATGTTGCAATATCTTCATGAGCCGTAACTCCTCAAAATCTGTACATCCTCTATTAATGTTGTCATAATAGAACAAGTTTTTGATACACAGGAAAAGGCTTGACACTCAACACCAGTTTTGATACCTGAAAAAAAAGAAAACTTTGACAATAGAATGTAATTTTCAGCACAAACTAATTGTGCTTTCTTTAACATGTGGCTCTAAACTGGTGCTGATCCAGATTGTTCAAGATTACTCTGAAATTGTTCAAAGAAGGTCAAATTTAGTTTATGGCATTTTTTCAGTATCAAATTAACTATTTTCGATACTGGTTTTAGTATCAATTTAGTTTGACAACCCTACCTCTAATATTACATAATGTGTGATGTACAAGTTACCCTCAATTTGACTTACCCCTAATCGTGAAGACTTTTGCTATTGCTGCCATAGGAACCATTCTTTGCTTATTGCGATTATATCTGAAGTTATTCCCACTGCGCGCCCCCCTGTGGACCGGAGGAGGCTGCTGTCGGACGTCTGTACAGGGAGCAGGGTCGGCCATGACGCAGGCCTCGCGCTGTCGTCAAATGGTCAGGTCAATACGATATTTTTTTTCTTTCTTTCTTTCTTTTGTATTTTTTACTCTGAACTCGTTGGATTTTTACTCGTTTTCCTGAGTAGTTGCTGGACCCTGTGAGTTGGCCGTTTGTATCGTACTGTAGGGGGGCAGAAGCCGGGCTGGTGTGTGTGAATGTGATCCCTCAAATGTTCCAATGCTGTGCGCGAGTCCGAGAGGCCAGAATGAGAGAACTGTAGCGCCTAAAGCTACTCGCGTTCTTGAATGGCACTGTCAGAAAATGAAGGGTTGTTTACGCTGGAGCGGCGTGGTCTGGTATGATTTGGTATGGTTGAGTTTTCAAAAAGCAGCACCAAAACAGCTTTTTGCTACGAATCAATACAAAAATACAGCAAGAAAACATAAAAATCTTGTTGTCAGAACGACTTGAATTGAGTTGCTCTGACGTGTTTAAATTGACTTGGATTTTTTGAGTTGTTTCTGAGTTATATTTTTGTTTTTCCCATACATTTATATTTCATCTAATTAACTTGAAACCAGACTTCACAAGAATATAAATGAATAAATAAATAATAGAGTAACAAAAATAAGTAATTTAACAGTTACAAAAATGTATTTCAAAGGTGAGAACACCAGAACTAAACCTTTTTCACAAGATAATTGAAATAAACAAGATTTTTTTTTTTTGAAGAACCTGAACATTTTTAATCTGTAATCAATCATACACTCTACAATTTAAAAAAAATTCAGTCAGAATGCATAAGTTTTGTAAAATTTAGGAAAATATCGGACTATATTAGTGCCCAAAAACTGAAATACCAGGCAGTTTTTCAGCGTAATACAATATAGTTGAGTCTCCATACAATTTTAGAAATAAATAATTGACAATAAAATAATAATTTTTTAAAAGTATCAAAGGTCAGAACTTCAGAAGACTGTAAAGTAATATTTAAGAGTTTTCACAATTTAACAAACTATCACCATACCAGCTCAAACCATACCACCCTTCTCTAGTGCAAACGCGACTTAGGGCTGTGAAAAATCAAACTTCTTAAAGCTTTGAGCGCTCTAAAGGTTGTGATAAAACTTCGTTGGCGGATTTTTTGACCAGATGTGTTCGCTGTTATTCTCTCTGTTCCAAGTTTGACCATGAATCGTTTTGTGTTGAGTACAATCACATTTGTGGCCATCATCGGCGCGCTCTCTCTGATCTGTGACATTTTTGTTATCGGTTCCTCCCATAGAGACACACGCAGAAGTGGGAAGTGAAATGTGAAACTGTGGTTAGTACACCAAAGAAACCCTGTGAACAAATCCATTCGAAACAAGGACCAAAACAGATTTACAGTTGGTGTTGTGTGGCAATACAGAATTATAACAGTTTAGGTTTACACAGGTGCATTCACAACTACTAAGTTTCGCAATAAAGCTACCATAATTGGAGTTTAAAAAAAAACAAAAAACACTTGTCAGTACCAGTCAAAAGTTTTGCACGTGTTTTCATCTGTTCCCATGATTATTTACATTGTAGATTGTCACTGAATCATCAGAAATATGGATTTAGTAAACAAAAATTAACTCAAAATAAAGAACTCTGAATAAATAACTTTTAAATAAATTTAAAAATGAAAAATGGCCACCCTTTGCTTTGATCACAGTGTTGCACTTTTGGCATTTTTTGACCCTGACGAGGCAAAACTGTCAACAAAGCAAAGTGTGGACATAAGGATTCGAGTATAAAATATAAAAAGTCATTTAATATTTTTCTTTACTAAATTCCATATATTTGGCAGATGTAAAAAGTTGTAAACATAAAGAAGAAAACATTGAATGAAATTGTGTCTAAACTTTTGACTTTTAGTGTATATTCGATGTAGACCTAACATTTTAAAACCAATCTTTGAAATCCTGACTCTAAAACACTCAAACAAAATATAAATTGTCAACTTTAACACTAATTGGCGCCCTTGGCCATTCTGCGTACGGACAAAAATGCTGTGAAAAGTTTGCTCAAACATTACCTGCATATTGCCTCCTAGAAACAACCAAGAGCAATAATTAAGAGCAATACTTAAGATTATTAAGCGACATATCCCAAACTGTCCATATCATCCGAATACAATGTCGAAATGAGCTGTTTATATCGAAGCTGTGAACATCTTTATTATCTCTTAGTGAATATCTTGTTCCGCTTTGCAAATTGGCTTATATTATGACACATTTTTCCTGATTTGTTGCTTCTAGTGCAAATAAAAAACAACTTTTACTCCGTATAATATATTGTAAAAACAGTAATTTGGAAGAAAAAAGACTGATATAGATTTTAGAATTTTAAAAGTAGTTACCGTATTTTCCAGACTATAAGTCGCACCAGCCAAAAAATGTGCAATGAAGAAGAAAAAAACATAAGTTGCATTTTTTGGGGAAATGTATTTTATAAAATCAGAGACCAAGAATCGACATTTCATCTTGAAAAGCAAGTTATAGTAAAACAACAGAAGAGAGAACAAGCTGAGTAGGCGTTAATATGTTAACGTAACATATGAACAGTTATTCAGATAATTATAGCATAAACAACAGAACATAAGTTTACCAAACTCACGATCTCACTCCAAATCACTAAATCCACTGAATTCTTCATCCTCTGTGTCATTTCTTTGCGACCTCCGGAGATAAACTGTAGATCCATGATGCAAACGTAGCGCCACTTCCTCTTCTGTGTAGCTGTCGTCAGACTCAGCTTCAGTTCCAGTTAGAATTATTCCAGCCTTTCTGAATCCCGACCGGATGGTTTCGGTGTCACTGAACTCCAGGCTTTCTCGATTCATCGAGTGACTTCAAGGAAAGTTACATGGCGCACCCACCGGGTTATCGTGAAGCTGTGTTCTCCATACCCGCTTTCCACCAGTCCCTCACAAGTTTCTCGCTCACTCCAAACTTTCTTCCTGCTGCTCGATTACCGTTTTTGGCTGAATTTTTCACTATTTGTAGCAAGACAGGAGCTTTTTATACAGGAGACATGCACAGTAGAGCGAAGTGACAGTGACACAGGAGTAGTAGTAGTACTAGATAATGACACATAAGCCTAGAGCGCCCTCTCATGGCTGTCAGTGTGAAGTTTTTAATATGTAAGTCACACCGGAGTATAAGTCGCAGGATCACCCAAACCATGAAAAAAGTGCAACTTATAGTCCGAAAAATACGGTACTTGGATAAAAACGTCTGTCCTTAGTAATCGTTTCCTCATGGTTCCTTATGCGAACAACTCCCAGAGAGTTGTTTTTCTGTCATGGTGCAGTACTTGGGGCCTAAGTGGGCGGTGCTAAGAGTTATCTTCAGTCATGGTTCAAAATTAGGTAAAGTACAGGGCATTTAATTTAGTTCCATCTGATTTGTAATTTATTTATTTTTTTTTATCAACAATTCTGTAATTTGCAGTCTACAAAACCTTCAAACTAAACTACTCCAGTTCAAAATGACTGAACATCTCCTGAAGATATTTTTCTGTATTGTCCAACACCAACTTTCAATGTGACGATCTCTCTCCTTTCTCTCCTTTTCTGACCAGATTGTGCGGCGTGAAATGGCCTCGCTGGAGTTTCTTTGTGGTTTTTTTTAAGTGTCGATGAATAAAATTAGGCTCCCTCTTGTCGCGATCGCTGCCTATCTTCTGAAAATCTCTGAGCCACAGTATTGGGAAGTCCGCAGCGTGGAGCAATAGAGTGACCTATATTTGTTTACACTGACTATTCATGTTAAGAAAAAAAAAAAAAGCTTTATCATTTTATACAAGATGGAATACATAGGATCAGATTGGCTGAGAACAGTTAAATCAGTTTGAGAATCCAAAATGTGTTGCCTTTTTTGGATTGATCTGTGATTTTTTTCTTTTTGGACGCGTTTTCTTGAGTTTAGTGTCAGTGGTACATTTCTTGGGTGTGCAGATAGGGGGCACTGTGACCTCACTGTGTAGCATTAAGACGCCGTGGTCATTTGCAGAACACAGATTTTTCAATGACGACAAAGTTTATTCAATTTAGATCAGCACTACCTTGAACAAATTTGCGTCTGTAGTCAATACGCTCTACAAATTTGTCAGAATTTGTAATATTTGTAGTAAAATAGGGGAAAATTTCAGCAAATGATAGTTCCCTGAATTGAAATACAGGCCATTTTTCATTGTAATTACTAGTTTTTAGAAGCAAAAATGCAGTTTTGTAAGAACGTTCGTCAATTTTGGTCATGTCGGAAAGCTTTAAGTGAAATCTAGAACTGAACAAAACTTCAAATTCTGCTAATTCTTCTTAAAAATAATTCACCAAGATGCTACTTTGAACATTTTAAACAGCTATTTCTACAAAAAGTTGTTGTTTTGTGAATGACCACGCCGTAACTTTAGTCGTACATAGGCTTGGTGATCCACTGTTTAGGGCATATACATTTAACATATTGTACATACTTTTTTAGTTTGTATTTTTTTATTTAAATCCTTCATACAGCAGTAATGCCTTAACTCACTCTCTATTACTGTTCGTATTGACTCCACTGCATTTATATTTCTACTCTTCATTTATTTTTCGTTTCGCCGTAGTCGCACACTTTTCACATGGCTTACCACACGGACAAGTTAAAGCAATATTCTGCCAAAATTTCGACGCCTTTTTTTTGTTGTTGTTTTTTTCCAGTATATACACACACTGTGCCATTATTTTGACATATTTACATTTATCCACAATTATTTTTCAGATACTCTCAATCCTAGAAAGATTCTACTTCACGTAGACTAGCTTGAAAAAAATTTATTGGGAAATTTTGCGAATTTTTACTGCTCACTATGTGCACCTTTATAACTCTATAGTCACTCACAATGGTATTCTTTTATAATTATTAGGTCAAGTTGACTTTAGAGACTAGAAACTGGAAGTATACAGAGTAATGCTACTGAATTTGGGTACTTATTTATATTGTACTTTCGCCTTTTCATTTAAGTACACCAGTGTCAGTATTTCAATTTACAAAGTTACAACCATGTTTTTTGTTTTGTTTTGTTTTTTGGCTCATTCCAGCTGCCATATCTCGACCAGTGCTTGTGCTACAGTTAAAAATGTGGATTATGTGGATTAACACGAGAATCGGCTTGAATAGATGCATCAAGAATTTCGGACTTCCAGTCACTACGCAATGCATACTGGGAAGGATTTTCCGAAAAAGTGAGTATCAGATCACCATGTTTGATTTCCCAGTGGGATGGGTCTATTGACAAAGCCAGTCTTTTCTAGTCTCTTGAACCATATCGCTTTTTTTTCTGGTTCTGATATTGTCATATTTTAGTTTTGGGATTCAGACATTGTAATTGTGTGGTTGTTGGACGTCCTAACACCGGAAAACGGCTCGAGAAATTTGTTTGCGAACTCCATAAATGCAAAAGAGAATCAGGTGTGTCTGACTGCAAACCTTCTGTTCAAACTGTTTCCCTTCCCAACGGAATTGAAAAATAGTGAAATGCGAAGGCGATGGGCAGTATTGTTACACAGGAAGGATGAAAAAGGAAACATTTGACTGCCTAAATCATCCAGAGTTTGCAGCGAACATTTTGTATGTGGAGCGCCATCAAAGCAAAACCCTGATCCCTCGCTCAACCTTGGTTACGAATTTAAAAAGTCAATGCCAAAGCAAAAGGCAGCAGCTGTTCCCCAAGAAACACTTTCCACTGCAAAGAGACCAAGACGTGATGTTGCTGTAAAACCACAAGAACAAGAAAGTGCGAGCTCGGCCTGTTTGTCTTCTGAACCTCTCGCTTAACAAACGGGACCCTGCTTTGATGGCGCTCCACATACTAAATGTTCGCCGCAAGCTCGGGATGATTTAGGCAGTCAAATGTTTCCTTTTTGGTCCTTCCTGTGGATCAATCCTGCCCATCGCCTTCACCTTTCATTATTTTTCAATTCCATTGAGAAGGGAAACAGTTTGAACAGAGGTTTGCAGTCACACAGATCTGATTCCCTTTTGCATTTATGGAGTTCGCAAACAAAATTCTCGAGCCATTTTTCCACTGTTAGGACATCCAACAACCACACAATTACGATGTCCGAATCCCAAAACTAAACTATGACAATATCAGAACCAGAAACAAAAGTGATATGGTTTAAAAGACTAGAAAAGATTGGATTTGTCAATAGACGCATCCCACTGGGAAAACAAACATTGCGGTTTGATGCTCACTTTTTCGAAAAATCCTTCCCAGCATGACGGGAAGTCTGAAATTCTCGATGCATCTATAAGCATGTTGGCTAACCCTAACTGCCAAACGCTACTAAAAGAAAAACGCGAATTGTTAAAAATCTGTGTCAAATTTGAAATGTCCCATGGCCTGTTACTATAAAATACTTGTTACTGATACCGATGATAAAATTTTGCAGTGTTTTGTGCCTTTTGTTGTTTGTTTATGAAGAGATTTAAAGTGTTTCAAGGTGTAAATGGTTTTCTCTGTGTAGCCATGAAATCTGGATCTGTTGTCAACGGCAACGCAGCGTTATTTAAACTCTGAAACTCAATATACGGGCATTACGATGAAATTAACTATCTCCTTTTGGTTTGCAGAAGTTTTTGGTCAGTTTACACGACTTTTACTCGTTTCTCGACTGGTCTGTTGTCGTTGTAGCTTTGCCTGAAATGTTACACAGTATGGCATTATTGCATCTATCTTGAATACATTCTGTTCTAATGAAGGTGTTTTTTTGACTGCTCGAAGACAACATTCTTACTGTGAACTGCCTCTCCACGGAGCTGAGCCGTGACTGTGCCATGCGCGACGCTGCTGCCTGCACGTCTCCATGGCGATCGATGAAGTTTAATGCCGTACTGTGGAACGTTTTTCGCGAAGTAGCCGTAATCGTAAATCCAAGGAGACAAGCAGGTAGAAGCAACATTACGCAATTTAAGTCTTTTTTTATTTTTATTTTTTTGTCTTTTAAAACAAATCTTGACATTTATAAATCACACTTGCAATGTACTTTTTGTTAAATTTTGGTGACATGGAAACTTGAGACAAACCTTTAAAAACACGTTCTGTACACAGGAAGTCAACATTTTAAAAACTAAACTTGAAAATGAAATGGTGTCTGACCAGTTGAGAAATTTTGTAAAAATTGTCATTGTTTATTTAATGCTGTGTAGCTGATTTGTGGTGTTCAAAATGTGTTAAAATTGGTGGCCAATACAACACATTTCTTTGCTTTTTGTGAAGAATTAAATATTAAAAAGAACAAAACTCGAAATTTCAAATTTGAAACTCTTTCAGTGTCCAATCCATAACAAAACAAATCAAAATTATCAGTGTTCTTGACGCATTTCATATCTATTTTTATATCATTTCAGAAATTTGGGGCACATTATCAAAAGATTATAAATTTGAGAAAAAAAATATCTGTGTTTGCACTTTTTTTTTTTTTTCAAATATTTCTGTAAGCAAAGAAATTGAGAAAAAAAGCCACCTATTTTTTGTATTGTAATTTAAAATGCTGACCCATCATTTCTAAAACAACAATGCTATTGTTCAAAATGTATTTCAATTTAAATTTTATTTTATATTTTTTGTAAACTTACCGCCAAAAAAATCCATTTGTTAATTCAGAATTTTGGTATTGCCACTATCTGCTGTTACATATTAGGCCATCATACTAACATCTGTCATTTTTTGAAACTTTGTTGAAATTCAGTTTGAAATTTCATCAAAATTTGGAAATTTCTTGCTTTCTTGTCATGTAGAATTTCTGTACAATTCCTCTTTTTGTATACGCTCTATACCTGATCACCGGCGCAAAAGTGAGAACTCCATTGAGCCAATCGGATGTAGCACCGACCTGCTCACCCACTGGACATTTTTTAATTTTATTATTTTGTATGGCTCCATTGTAAATCATCTGCCTTTATTTTTATTATAATTTTTTTTATTAGATTTTGGTAACAGACAGTTGCAAACGTCTGGTCTGGTGTTGAAGCGTTTCTTTGTAAAGTTTTCTTTCTTTGTCGACAGAAGACAAAATAAACACTCATTGCCATATTCTGGGAAAAATGAAATCACGACTCATGTTTTTTGTTGTAGATGAAGTATTCACTTTTGTTACTTAAGTAAAAGTACAGACAGTGTTGGGCAGGTTACTTTTAAAATGTGTTCCCCTACAGATTACAGATTACATACCCCAAAATGTAGTTTGTAACAGAATCCATTAAATTACTTAAAGTGAGTAATGTAATCTGAATACTTTGGATTACTTGATTTGCTATAGAGAAGCAAAGACCAGGAAATATTAACATAAGATGTTTTGTCTGATAAAAGAAAATAAAAAGCCCAGACTTTACTTAAACATATTAAAAATATTATTGATAGAAGATGAGGAGACACGTCCTCACGGCCTGGTTTAGTCCTGTTAAATCCTGTTTGAGACATAGTTTAGACCTGGTTTTAGGCCTGGTTTAGTCCTGTCCTGGTTTAGTCTTGGTTTAGTCCTGGTTTTAGACCTGGTTTCAGACCTGGTTTAGACCAGGTTTTAGACCTGGTTTTAGTCCTGGTTTAGTCCTGGTTTTAGTCCTGGTTTAGTCCTGGTTTAGACCTGGTTTTAGACCTGGTTTAGTCCTGTTTTAGACCTAGTTTAGACCTAGTTTTAGACCTGGTTCAGACCTGATTTTAGACCTGGTTTGGACCTGGTTTTAGTCCTGGTTTTAGTCCTGGTTTTGTCCTGGTTTAGTCCTGGTTTAGACCTGGGTTTAGACTTGGGTTTAGACATGGTTTAAGACCTGGTTTATTGTGCGGCAATGAGTGGAATTACAAAAAAAAAAAAAAACTGAAAACAGGAAAATACCGCTGTGTAATCCATTTATTTCAATCAAGTAACTAATTTAATTACCACTCATTAAAACAGTAACTGTAACTGAATGCAGTTACTCATAATTTGTACTTTGATTGTGTTACTCCAGTACATGTAATCTGTTACTCCCCAACACTGTCCACAAAACACCACCAGATGGAGCTATTTTTCTTGATTTGTTTTAAAAGGAGTTTTACGATCACAAGTGAACCTGGGTTGCCAGAGCTTTAACCTGCAGAGAGAGGACACATACAGGGCTGTAGTCGACTATTTTTTAATTATTGGTTGATTATAAAAACATGTTCAGCCGATTGATTTGTTGACTAAAAAAGGGGGCGTGGCAAAAGCTTTCAAAAAGATCACATATCTCTGTATATCTGACCCAAACTCTCTCAAGACTCCAGCTGCAGGGAGAGTTCAGGCAAAAACAACTATTCATGCAGAAAGTAGAACTAGGAAACGATGCATTTGTATAAATACAGATATAATTTGTGATTCATGAGTTTAATCTGCCTTTTTACATAGAAATGCCAGAAATACCAATACCATAAATCACTCACTAACTTCCCCTTTCTGCTGTTGTCTGTTGTACATCCTTATATGATTAGTCAGACACACATTTATGTAATATATGGGTTTCACTTTCTGTAATGAGTGATTAAAAAAATATAGAACTTTTTCATGATATTCAATTTTTTTGTGCTGGACTAGTAAATGATGACAGTTGTACACATAAAAGTTTTTCTGGTTCTCAGTACATGGACGGAGCTCTAGCACTGACTCGTGATTGGCTGCAGGGGCTGAGGTTTAAGAAGTGATCATTCTAGTTTTTGTGTGTGCGAGTGTATTTATTGTTAAAATAATACTTTGAAGAACTTTTTTTTTTTTTTTTTACCATCAGTAGGCTCATCTCTCCACAGATCTGAAATGTAACATGGCTGGACGGTGAATCCTGCTTAACCATTGTGGAACATTCCAGGAAAAACATTAATATCTCCATGGAAACAAGTAAGCATCATACTAGAGGTCTGTGCGGGACAGAATTTTCAGTCTCGCTCCCGCAAAGAATAGTAATTTTCAGTCTCACTCACGCCCGCATCTGTGATATTTTGTCCTGCTCCTGCCCGCAAGTCCCAGGATGGGAACTTTTGCTTTTCTTAAGCTCCATCAAACACAGAGAAGTGAAAGGAATTGGGCTGAATATGGGAGGAGGCGAGGTGGGTGGTCCGGCAGCATGGTTAAATCCGGGCTAAATCCTGTTTTAGTCCAGGTTTTAGACCTGTTTTTAGACCTGTTTTAGACCTGGTTTAGTCCTGGTTTAGTTCTGATTTAGTGGCGCAGCCCACACGGCGTATGCGAGGGGGGATGGTCTGCTGTTTAAAATGTTTTTATTAATGCCAAATAAAATATCCAGCACAAATTATGCATGATATGTATGCATTCATCATTTGTTTATTTTACTTTACACTCACTTAAATTATGCGACTGTAGTTTATCATCCCACCTGCCGCTCCCATGTTGTGCAGTCCCACCCCCACCTGCGCCAGTAATGAGTTTTCAAAATGTGTCCCGTGCCACACTGTTCTGCGTTGATTCCCGCTCTAGAGCCCTGATGAGGGCTCTACATTATCCCTTGCACCAAAAACATGTTTTTTTTATGTCGCCAGAGCTTTCAGAAAATGTAAAGTTTGTTAGCTAAAAAAAAAGTGTAATATTTTATCAGTATTATTGTATTGGATTATTCTTTCTTTGTTATTGGTCCAAACCAGTAACAAAGTATCTGGCGAGGGATATTGTTCTTCACTGGATTCTTCTTCTCTTTTATCATTTTTCCTTGCAAAATATTTTTGAGGGCCTATACGTCAACAAAAACTCCCCCAACCAGGTATCATTGAAAAATGTGACAAAACGGTTATTGTGTGGGTTATTAAAGTGACCTGACTTAACAGTGCTGCCTACAATTGGGCCCCTATTGGAGCGCAGACAAGCAAAAGAAATTTATAACAGTGATAGAGAACAATAAGACAACCTGAACTGACGCATGGCTTTATGATGAACAGAAAGTTGGCCATATTGGACCAAAAATCCCCCATCATTTTGACTGTATGTTTATAAAATGCATCTAGCCCCTGAATTTTGGTCCAAATGAGCTCAGATTTGTAACATTTAGAGACATAGGTTCAGTTTTTTGGTGATACACCTTATGGTTTGCCCGTAGCTTCTGTTTGTAACTCATCAGTTGCTCACGATATCATTAAATTATCTACATTTTAATGGCTGACACTGCATTTTGACATCAATGGTGAAAGTTTATGGGCTGATCATTGCCGCTTGCAGCTATATTTACCATTATTATAAGTAAAAGTATGAAATGATGAGTCCTTGTTTCTGTTTTGAGATGCTTTACTACAAAAAAAGTGAGGTTGTTGTGTGTGGTGCTGGGACAGAGGTCACTGGTGCACGTCCAGGGTGAGGGCCGTGGTGGTGAAGGAGAACGGGCTGAGCAGCAGAGCCAGAGTGTAGTGACGATGACCCTCGGCGTGGGCCCCGAACACAACCTGAAACACACAACAGATGATGATGATGATGCATTCAGGGAACAGACAATAATTGCGCTGGGTTTGTGACATCGGTCATGTGACTCTATTGTGGAAAACAGTTCAAACGGGAAACAGAACTACTTGGACAGAACAGACTCACCATCAGCAGAACACCCCTCTGTCACAGAAAGAACACATATATTCCACTGAGTTGTTTCCTTTTTAAGTCTAGCAGAAGCTGAACCACATCAGGGCATAGGAAGCGAGCTGTTTTTTGAGCGCTTAGTTTATGCAAATTAGCCATGCGGTTTTGTTTCTTTAAAACGTAAACAAATGTGCGCAAAGCTGTGTGGATAGGGAAGGCTTGGGGACACAGAAACAATGTGTCTGGATGCAGATCGTTTCCAATACGGTAATTTGTTTCAATGTAAACATAACCTCAGTTGTGGAATTGTCAATCTCTACTGAACTAAAGGTAAAAGCAGCTGATAGCCCCTTTAATGCCGACTGTCACAAATATGCGACAAACCGTTTGGATCAAGATATAAGCCGAGACAGCAGCTGCATTACCCTAGTGCCGTTAAGTGCATAAGCAGGACCTTCCTAGAAACCTTTGGCAAGCACTTGTTTTGCAACACACCCACATTTTTTATTTATTTATTTTTTGCTATAGTCAAATGAATAATCTCAACTTGATTTACTGTCAATTCAAGTCAAAAACACACATGGTGAGGAGAAAATTCAGTTTGTCGACTGGACAAAAGTTAGTTTGGTTGAAGACATTTCGAAGCTCATCCAAGCTGCTTCTTCAGTTCTGGTCAGAATGCTGCTGGACACACTGCAGACAGATATAAGGAAGTGAATTTTCTCCTCGCCATGGATTCTACCTGGACGACTGAGGGATTCTTCACTCAAAAACACACACAAAACATTTTTATATACATCTATATAAAATCAGATGTTAAGGGATTAACTTTAAAACTATTGCTTCATGACATCACAAGGTGGAACAGAGCATTTTCAGCTTTGAAGATGCAGACAGACTAATAATAAAGGGTTACTCAAACATGTGTGAATGAAAAAAACACAACTCCAGGTCTGTTTTTAAGGAGGGAACATAATTATAACATGACTTAAAGCTCATAAAAGTCAATTCTGTCTAATATAAAACCATTTAATTCACACCCAAGACAGAAAAAACTTTGCCTAAACTAAATATTTTAATTCTATGACTAAATGCTGTGACTAAAGTTGGGTTTTCTTTAATATTATGAATCCTCACATGACAGAAATGGTCTCCCAAGTTCTGTTGTGAATGTACTGGCATTTTTGTCATAGCTGCCACTTTAAATGTTGGCTTGTTAAGTGTTTGGATATGCATGCATGGACATGATCAGTTTGGCGTTCAACATGCAAATATGATAACGCATTGTTTATTGTGTCAGTAGACGGATATCAGAACAACTACCACAACAGACAAGATGGAGAATTCACCAGGCATTTTTAAATAACGTGTTGATCTCTTTTAAAGAGCCCAGATCACTCGACTTTCTGAACTGTTTTAATGTTGTTTCCTCATCACAAATGCACTTGGAGTTGCGTTTTGTTTCATTCACACATGTTTAAAACACACATACACCTTCACTAGAATCATCTGGATCATTTCAGACCTGGAATTGCCAATCTCTACTGAACTAAAGATAACAGGAGTCTTAAACGTCTTAAAAAGGTCTTAAATTTCATGTTCCTAAATTAAGGCCTTAAAAAGTCTTAAATTATGTTGTCCAAGTCAGAGGTCTTAAATTTTATTAGCCTTTTTTGCTGTTTACTCACCTGGGCTGTAGTGCGATGTTAAACAGAGAGAGGAGAAAAAAAAAACATGAAATCACATGAATGAAAGTCTAAGGCTACGTTCAGACTGCAGGGCTTAACGCTCAATTCCGCTTTTTTTGTGAAATCCGATGTTTTTGCGAGGTCGTTCACATTTCCAATTAAATGCGACTTGTATGTGATCTCCAGTGTGAACATTAAACGACCCAAAAGTGTCCTGCATGCACACTGGAGGACATGACGACGTCAACCGCAGCGAGCGTGTTCTGTGTTTACGGAAGTTGTCCAAACATGGACACAAGCATTGAGCACCTGGTGATTTTAAAGTTCCTCTCGTACCGGAGCCAGAACATGAACAACTTACTTGTTTTAAGGAGGAGATTGAGAAGGAGAAGGATGAGGTTTTTGGCCGTGGCGTTTTGTGGGGCAGCGTCAGCAACGTCCGTTGAAAGGAACGTGTGGATGTGGAGACGTAGCCAAGAGTGGTGAGTGGTGATGTGCTTCACTTCAGTGACACAGAGTTCATTACCAATTTTCGCCTACTTCGGCGCAGAATAGTGATGTTTGTGGCTTGTTGATAACGTGTAGGTCGGATGAATGCGCTTTGGCCTTTCAGACTGAAGTCGCATGTCAAAAGATCAAATATGTATCGGTTTCAGGAGCACATATCCAAGTGGCCTGGGTGGCATTTGAAAAAATCAGATCTGTGTCATTCAGACTGTCATTAAAAGATCAGATACAGGTCACATAGGGGCGAAAAAATCTGATCAGTAGAGTGAGGAAGACGCTGGATGGGTCATGAGGTAGGGCAGGTTTAATCCACAGTTAGATTCTAGATACAGTCCTGTAGTTTGTTGGTCATTATTAGAATTGGATCTGGTGTTTATCGGGTGCGATGTTGGTTTTAATTTTCATTTAAGTGGTCTTAAAAAGGTCTAACAAAAGTCTTAAATTTGGGGTAATCAAACCTGGGGATATCCTGGATAAAATGTAGCTGTTAACTAGAAAACTACAGCTTCATGACATCACAAGGTGGAACAGAGCATTCTGAGGTTTACAGATGTAGACAGACTAATAATAAAGAGTTGCTCAAGCATGTCTGAATGAAACAAAACACAACTCCAGGTCTGTTTTCGATGAGATAAAAGCGTTGTAAAAGGCTGAAAAACTGCAAATTGCTTCTCTTGATGGAGCTGTTACCGATTTGCTTTGAAGGTTCCACAGTATAGAGTTCAATTCTTTAAAATCTCCATGGAAACAAGCAAATTACAGGTCAGGTTTGAGGAGAGGCGACCTCACTCATTGTAAAAATTCTGTCATTTCTAGATGAGAAATAGGCAACAAATCCTCCACTGGAATAGTTAAATAGCAGATCTTGTTTTTTTAACCTATAGTGGGCTTGCATCTCCACAAACCTGACTCTTACATGGCCTAGAGGAGGGTCTATTCCTGCTCGTCACCATGGAAATGTCTCTGACTGTAATATTCCACAGTTGGCATAAACCTCAACTAAACCTGTTTCTATAGTTTCCAAATTCTCCTGGAGTCATGCAGGTGATAAGCCACCTCCAGAAAATGACACGGTGTTGCTTTAACCAATAGAAACTAACTAGGTCATATATCTCTGTCACGCACTCAGGGTAGTATGAGAGAGACCAAAACTCAAGCAGAGGTGGAAGAAGTACTCAGGTTTGTTACTTAAGTAAAAGTACAGATACTGGAGCAAAAAAATACTAAAAGTAAAAGTATCACATGAAAAAATCTATTCAAGTAAAAGTACCGAAGTAACTGTTTAAAAATGTACTTCAAGTTCCACTGTGTACCTTTTCGTTTAGGGGTTTGTCATCTGTTTGTTTCTACTTAGATGTTTTTGCTTTTGCTGAAATGTTCCACAGTGTGACATTAAACAGCTTGACCGTTACATTACATTTAGGCTACGTCCACACGACAACACTCCTGGATTTTTTCTTTTACAGACTGAAAAAAATTTGCGTCCACACGTCTCAGATCAATAAATATTCACGTCCAGACGACAACAGAGCACTGAGTGAAAACAATGTAATACATCTGCCACACCTGTATGTGGCGCTGTTAACAATGATAATAATATTTAATAATGCAGATCTCATCACCGCTTCTTTAAACTTTCAGGAAATTTAGCCGATTTTAGAAGTATCCCAGAAATATAGCCGTTTTGTTTTGCAAAAGTTAAGCATAAGTTTTAATTTTTAGCCATAAGATTTGGATGAGAATTAAAATCCAACAGGTTAATTACTTGAGCGTAATCTTTGTTATTGATCCGTGTGTGTATTCTGTGGTGTGTGTTGTTAACATTAGTGCTAACAGTGTGACTCGGTTGCTGGGCGACAGGAGCGACTCTGTAGGCTACACCTGTCACATTTCGGCAACGGTCTTGTGGTCCGCGGAGGCCAGTTCGAGGGCTAAACCCCTGCTGCATCGGAGGACCCTGCCGATATCGGGGTCACGACGTCATCGATTTCCAGAAGCTGTGGTTTGTTTGTCCACACGACAACGCAACGCCCACGTTCTCAGATTTCTCCACTCTGGAACACCATTTTCACCCACCTGAAACGCCGGCTCCATGTGGACGAAAGGCCAAAACGAACAAAGACTTCACCGCTTCGACCAAAAACGTTGTCGTGTGGACAGGCCCTTATTCAATTACAGGTGGTTTCATCGCTCAAAAATACCTAGAAAAACAATTCTGACTGTGAGCGGAGTCACCTCTCCACAGATCTGACCTGTAACTTGGTCTGGTTCGGTCTCCATGAAGATAGAAAGGTTTAATGCCATACTGTGAGACATTCCGGACAAACTCCATGAAGAAAAGCATTTGACGAAGCCTCTAACAGAAAAGTTACACAAAACATCTCTAAAGACTAAAAAGTAAAAGTATTTTGTGTAGATTTTGAGATCTAGTAAAGCTTCAAAAGTAATGATTCTGATACAGATTTATGCTTAATTTTGTTCAACAGAAACTGCTACTGTTTTTTATTTGTATGTTTTTGTTTATTCAAATTATGAACTCGATAAAATTAAAACCTTTCAGACTTTTCAGCAAGTGTCAAACTATAATAAACAATACTTTTACTTCAGTCCTGTTCAAAAATGTAGTGAAGTAGAAAGTACATGTTCCTGCTCTAAAGTAAAAGTTAAAAGTATAACAAAATGTAGATACCTAAAATTCACTATTAAAACAAGTTTCTGAGAACGATAAAAAGAACATGCTGCAAATCTGGCAGACAAGCGAACACCGTGTAGCATTTGCATATCACGTTAGTCAACAGGAGTCGGAAAAACGTGTTCAGAAATGTTGACACGCCGAGACTTTTGTGCCAGTGGAATTTTTCAGCCAAAATACACCAACTAAATCAATAAGGAAATGCCAGTATGTTGATTTGTTTGCATGAGAGACAATAGTTTCCTGGTAATGATTTTTGGGTAAAAGTGAGTCTTAAAGCTGCATTGTGTAACTTTGCCTTTTCTGGAATGTGTATTAAACCTTTCTATCTTCATGGAGAACAAACCAGACCAAGTTACAGGTCAGATCTGTGGAGAGGCGACCCCGATCACAGTCAGAATGTTGTTTTAATAGGTATTTTTGAGCTTTAAAACCACCTGTAATTGAATAAATGTAAGGTAGAACTATTTAATGTCATACTGTGGAACATTCTAGGCCAAGTTTTGTTCTTTCCACTCCTTTTTGGGCAATTTATTTTGTGGTTATTTCTATTATGATTTCACTAATGTTACTTGTTCCACTGTATAAGAATGTAAAGCTCTTACTTGCCCAAAATAAATACATAAAATACAAATAAATAAATAAATAAAAAGAGCAATGAAATATCCATAGAAACAAGCAGGTGACAGACCCACAACCAAAAAGTTACATAGTGCACTCCAGTTCATAATGTTGTTACCTCCTGAAAAACAGACCTAGAGTTGTGTTTTGTTTCATTCACACCTGTTTGAGTAATTGTTTATTATTACGCTGCCTACATCTCCAAAACTCAAAATGCTCTGTTCCACCTTGTGATGTCATGAAGCAGTGTTTTTTTGTTCAGTAGAGATTGACAATTCCAGAACTGAAATCATCCAGATACTTTAATAATAATAATAATAATAATAATAATAATAATAATAATAATAATAATAATAATAATAATAATAATAAGAGATCATAAATAAATTGTAATAATCATAAATAAATTGTAATAATCAGAGAATAATAATAATCAGAAAATAGTTTAATATCGGCCCTTTAAAATGTGATAAACAGAAGTAAATATATATATATATATATATTTTTTTTTTTTATTGCTGCAAATCATCCAGATAATTAAATAACAATAACAATAACAACAACAATAATAATAATAATAATAATAATAATAATAATAATAATAAATAATAATAACAATAATACAATTTTAATAAAATCAGAAAATAGTGTAATATTGGCCCTTTAAAATGTGATAAACAGAAGTAATTTTTTTATTTTTTTTATTTGTTTATTTATTTATTTTTTACTTTTATTGCCACAAATCAATTCTCATCAACAGTGTCGTTTAGACCGGGCCTTCACACAATTTATATATTTATAAAATATATAAATATATAAATTTATAAAATCTAAAATTGTAAAAATGAATTAAAAAAATAAAAAATAAATAAGGCTTGTTAGGGCATAAGTGTCTATTTGAAAAAGTCAATAATTGGACCGCACTTCTTTTCAAAAGTTTCAGTTCCATTGAATAAACTTGTCTGATTTTTGAAACCCACTTACCAATGGTCGGTGTTTCAGATTTCAGCCTGTAAATAATTTTAAATTAATTTTTAAGTGTGTTTTCAGTTTCCTAAGTCATTCAGAGCATCCCAATTATTCACTGCCATAAAAGTACTTTCAGAGGTATTACTAACGTGTGTGTACCTATACTTACTGTATGTTCGCCTCTATTGTCCAAAGGTACCTACCCTATTTCTAACAACTAGCATGCTAACCGCGCACCATTTCCTTGTTTACGATGATGGTACAAACCCATGACTTTATGAATCGACGAGGACAGCACACATCATTTACACCGGCTGTGTAAATAACTTCTTCAGATATTTCTTTTCACGGAGCAAGGAGACTCACAAAAACATTTACAGTAAAGTACACGCGATACCTGAGGCTAACCACTCTGCCACCGTGCCGTAGATACTCACGTCGGCGACCTCGTGGAAAGCCATGATGCCTTTGCTCTTCCAGTAGGCCTTCGTGTCAAACTCCACTCTGTACACTCCGGCCGTGAACTGCTCCTCTGAGATCAGGCCGTGGATCTCCCCGGTCACCTCCGTCACCCTGGACACACACACGGCCACGCTTAGCTTATTTTGATGTTTTTATTTTATTTTACTGTATTTATTTTATTGTTTTTGAGTTTTATTTTATGTCCTATATCAGGGTTTTTCAAATTGAGTGAATGTGAGCCTACCCTTAGAGTAAGTAAAGACAGTTGACTAAACCAGGTCTAAACCAAGACTAAACCAGGACTAAACCATAACTAAACCAGGTCTAAACCAGGGCTAAACCAGGTCTGAACCAGGACTAAACCAGGACTAAACCAGAACTAAACCAGGACTAAACCAAGATTAAACCAGGGTTAAACCAGATCTAAACCAGGTCTAAACCGGAACTAAACCAGGACTAAACAGGACTAGACCAGGACTAATCTTGGACTTGAGAGAGAGAGGGAGAACCCCAAGTTTGAGGAGCAGGATGTCCACGGGCGCACCTCCAGGTCCGTCTAGATACTCAGTCCTGGTTCAGTTCTGTTTTAGTCCAAGTTCAGTCCTGGTTTAGTCCTCCTGGTTCAGTCCTGGGATCAGTCCTGGTTTAGTCCTCCTGGTTCAGTCCTGGGATCAGTCCTGGTTTAGTCCTCCTGGTTCAGTCCTGGATCAGTCCTGGTTCCTGTTCAGTCCTGGTCAGTCCTGGTTTAGTCCTCCTGGTTCAGTCCTGGGATCAGTCCTGGTTTAGTCCTCCTGGTTCAGTCCTGGGATCAGTCCTGGTTCAGTCCTTGTGTATCGTGCCTCTTCAGTAGCTCATTGGCGCCCCCCAGTGTAGGCAGACCTCACCTATTGAAAACCGTTGTCCTATATTACATAAAATTGACTCTTGTGAGCTTTAAGTCATGTCACGATGTTGTTCCCTCCTCGGAAACAGACCTGGAGTTGTGTTTTGTTTCATTCACACATGTTTGAATAATCCTTTATTATTAGTCTGTCTACATCTCCAAAGCTAAAAAATGCTCTGTTCCACCTTGTGATGTCATGAAGTGGTGGTTTTCAAGTTAACGTCTATCTTTTACTTTTAGTTAAGCAGATATTGGCGATTTTCCAGGGCTGAAATCATCCAAGTGATTCTAGTGACGGTGTATCGAGTTTAAAAACACAGTGGTGCACTTCCTGTATCACCACATGACATCACAAGGTGGAACAGAGTGAAGAACATCATTTAAATCTGCAGGGTTTGTGTGTTAAACATGTGTGAATGAAACAAAACACAACTCCAGGTCTGTGTTTTGTGATGAGGAAACAACATTACAACAGAGATCATAAAATAGCGTAATATATTTTATGATCTCTTTTTTTTTTTTTTTTTTTTTTTTTACTTTATATACCGCTCAGATCACTACACTTTAATTGAATCACTCTTGTAGCAGTCAGATCAGGGATGTAGCACCAAATTCTAGGCCCTGGGTACAAATAATGTTGGTGGTCCTTGCTCTACACTGGCCCCTGAGTAAACAATAACTTTTACCCATCTCCATGTGGATTAATAAAGTTTGTCTAAGTCTAAGTCACATTTTATACTGCATATTATTGTGTTTTCCAATGCTTTTCTTTTAAACATAGTGCTGTCAAGTGATAAAAAAAAAATAGAGATTAATTAATTATGATCTGTAATTAATTAATCCAATTAATCTCTTTTTTAATCTCACCTAAAAATTGCTGAGAAAAGCTTCAACTTGAGGTATTTTTATTTGAATTCATTATTACATTATTTTCACACTATCATTAACGTATTTATATAAGTATCATCATTATTATTACTATTATTAATCTGCTTAAATAAACTCAACTTTACAACATATAAACCAGGGGTGTCAAACTCATTTTGGTCCAGGGGCCGTATCCAACCTACTTTGATCCCAAAGCGGCCGGATCAGAAAACTCATGTCATATAAACCCCAAAAATAACAATAACTTCAAATATTTGTGCAGACAAAAGTAAATCTATTACAGAAATCTTTTTTAATTGATGAACTCTTTCTTTTACAAAAAAATAATATTATGAACAACCTGAAACTTTAAGAAAAATGCAATTTCAACACAATATTCTAACATGAACTTGTATGTAAATAGGAGTAAGTCAATTTTTCTTGAAAAATCCTACACTCAGCTCCACTTTTCTAATTTTTGACATTTTTCTGATGAGGGTGTCACGGTCAACAGTCAAAACGATCGTCCTTTAAGAGCGTTTGGAAAGAGACAAGTCTTCATTTGTGCTGCTCTGGTGGGAGGGGCCACGTACAGAGACGCTGGAGACGCTGCTGTGATAAACACCACAGAAAATTACCAATATTTTAATAGAAAATATAATTAAAATATTTTAGTAGAAAATCAGCCGAGGGCCACATTAAAGGTCTTGGAGGGCCGGATCTGGCCCCCGGGCCGTATGTTTGACACCTGTGATATAAACCATCACCACTCTAGAGCCACATCAGCCCGTTTGACATTATAATGTGTTTAATGCAGCTTTGCGCAAGTCTCAGAAACGAAACTTAAAACTGCATGGCAAATTTGCATAAACTAAGTGGAGAAAAGAAAAAAAACGCTCTTGTGCTGATGTGGTTCAGCTTCTGTTGGACTAAAGGACACGACTCAGGAGAATACAGATGCTTTTTCTGTGACAGAGAAGTGTTGATGGTGAAGGTGAGTCTGTTCTGTGTCTGTGTCGCGATGTTTTCAGAGTTCAGACATGTGCAGGTTTATCGTAAATGCGGCGAGAACGGGAATGAAAACTACAATTCTTTGCGGGAGTGAGCGGAGCAGGACTGCACAGTGCGGGACTGTGTCCTAACAACACATAAAAACAGATTTTATAATAAGGCAACTCGTGTACAGAAACAGTAAAGTTAGAGATTAAACATAAGATTAACGCGATTAAAAAGCATAACACGCTAAATATGACTGTAAATAATTAATCGCAATTAACAAGATAATTTGACACCCCTTTTTACACATATACTAGTTGACACACATACCCAGAGGCGACCAGGGCCCAGTTCCCGTCGGCGCCCCTCCTGAACACTCGGAGGGCCATGGGTCCAGCCGGGGTCCCGTTCACCGCGTCCAAGATCTTCACCGTCAGAGGACATCTCAGGTCAGAGCCGCCATGTTTCTCCTGAAAAACACCACATGTAAAAACACACGAGGAATCAGAATCAGAATCAAATTTATTTGTCATTCCAGTATAAAAAATACACAGAAACGAAACAATGCACTCAGGTCCAGGTCAACAGCAGCACAGATAACAATAAGAACAAATAGTTATAATAAGAATAAATAGTTATAACAAGAATAAAATAGTTAAAAATATTGTATGTCAACCCGCCCCCATTTTCTAAAGTGCGTTCCAAGTCAGTGCTGTTTTGTAGTGTTTTTTCTGACAGAATTAATCTGTCTCACGGCAGGAAGGTACTTTATATAAATCCACAGCTTTACTATGAAAATGGATGACACTGGAGGTTTCATTTTATAACAGGTATTCAAACTCTCTTTCAGTACTAAGAAATAGACTAGAATTTGGTTTTCAGCATTAAATCATAGTACTTTCTTTTATATTTCCATGTGCTCTTATATTTGTTCTGATACAGCTCAAAATCATTAGGAAAAGTTAATTTAAAATGTCCTGTGAATGTGACTTTTTAGTATTGTTTCCTGCTCAAATAAATATGCAGTTTCAGTACAAGTTTTAGTACCAATTAGTATCAGATTTTTAATACTTTTGACAAAACCAGGATTAAACCAGGACTAGATCTAAACCAGAATTAAACCAGGACTAAACCAGGACTAAACAAGGTCTAAACCAGGTCTAAACCAGGTCTAAACCAGGGCTAAACCAGGTCTAAACCCAGATTAAACCAGGACTGAACCAGGGCTAAACCAGGTCTAAACCAGGTCTAAACCAGGACTAAACCAGGACTAAACCAGGGCTAAACCAGGTCTAAACCCAGATTAAACCAGGACTGAACCAGGGCTAAACCAGGTCTAAACCAGGTCTAAACCAGGTCTAAACCAGGGCTAAACCAGGTCTAAACCAGGTCTAAACCAGGGCTAAACCAGGTCTAAACCAGGTCTAAACCCAGATTAAACCAGGACTGAACCAGGGCTAAACCAGGTCTAAACCAGGACTAAACCAGGACTAAACCAGGTCTAAACCAGGACTAAACCCAGGACTAAACCCCGTCTAAACCAGGACTAAACCAGGACTAAAACAGGTCTAAACCAGGACTAAACCCAGACTAAACCCCGTCTAAACCAGGACTAAACCAGGACTAAACAGGTCTAAACCAGGTCTAAACCAGGACTAAACCAGGACTAAACCAGGACTAGACCAGGTCTAAACCAGGACTACTTCAAATAGTCAAATATTACTGCAGTACAAATCATAGATAATTTCATTGCTTCTTGAGGTGATTATTATTATTATTCATATTATTATTATTATTATTATTATTATTATTATTATTATTATTATTATAGGCTGATTATTCAACAGTTACATAAAGTGTGCCTCGTCCAAAGACACAAAATATCAGACTCAAGGACACCAGTCACAACCATGACGATTATAATTTTTCTGAACAATGCTGCGTCTCTTGCTAAATACAATTCTCTGTATCTGTACATTTGGCCGTGACTTACTGTTAGTGGGTGAAGCTTTTATTTGTACATGTGAATCGATGTACTGTACTGAAAAACCAAGGCCAATAAACTTTACATGAGACACAAGTTCACTATTTATTCAAGCCGTCACCAGTTTAAAGTTCCTCAATCATGCCAAATGTTCACTTTTCAGCTTTTCACTGTGTTCTGTTATTTCTGCTACAAAACCAAACCAGGAGCTGATGTGTTTCTCCTCATTTTAACATATGGAGTGCTCATACAAATCTGTCTCCCTCTCCAGAGCTGAAAACGCTGCCACATTATATAATAAAAATCCAACATGTAATATAATAATAATAATAATAAAACTGCATTATTCATCATGTAAAACTGCAGTAATTAATAAAAAAACATGACAAACGATAACAAAATGCATCCAGTACTTTGTTTTTTTCCCACCAAATGTAATATTTAGTAATAACCACAGAATATTTATTTAGTTATTGACCTTTATTTAACGAGAAAAATCATGCTGACATAAAGAACCTCTTTTCACTGGACTACATCACCCAAAAGGAAGGGGCTTCTTCTACATGTACAATATAGAGACAAGCATGACTTTAGTGTTTGGGGACATTGGAGCACCCAGAGGAAACCTACGCACACACAGGAAGAACATGCAAACTCTAGGGGTGTGCAAAAATATCAAAATATCAATATATCGTAACGTTTAATGTGATGATACAGTATCAATGTCGTGGGCTGCTCTATCGATACATCGCCAAGAGTATTTTTTGGTATATTTTACTAAATTATTTTGTTACAGCTGGAGTTTTGTTGCTTGTTTAGAAGAAGGAGACTCGTTTATGGGACACATTTGACATTTTCACAGTTTTGATGATTAAAATCGGCTTTTTTTCATATTAACTGTGCAGAAGAGGTGGTTTAACAAGGATTTTTAGTATCACCGCAGACATTATTTAGCCATTATTTTTTATTGAACACTTTCGAATCGTTTTGATATATATCGTATCGAATCGAAACTGCACTGCATCGAGATATGTATCGTATTGTGGCCTATGTATCAAGATATGTATCGTATCGGCAGCTTCTTAATCAGGGGTGGGCAAACTTTTTGACTCGTGGGCCACAAAGGGCTCTAAAATTGGAAGGAGTTTTTTGGTAATCCATCTCATAAGAGAAAAAAACCCATGTTATCCCATGCATGTCTCTCAAGTCCCACAATATTTACCTTTTAAAACACTGAAGTTCAAAAAAACCGCATATGGCCCCCGTTTGCCCCCCTGTTCTTAATGATACCCAGCCCTTTCAAACTCCACACAGAAAAACCCTGCACCCCTGAATCAAACCCAAGACCTCCTTGCTGTGAGGTGAAAGCACTACCCACTGTGCCCCTGTGCCACAGAGGGTAGTGCTGCCCACTAACCCAGAGGTTCAAAAAAGCAACTATGAATATTATATGGTATTTACTGGACAATATTACATAATGTGTCATTGCATAATGCGGCTGTAAATGTGTTTCTAAAGTCCACAGACCTTCACCAGGCTCGGTCTGGTCCTGTCTGTGCTCTCAGGATCTTCACTCAGACTGACTCTGGTGCTGAGTGAATTACAGTCTGTTGTTTTTATTCACATTCATACAATCTTTTCAGCTCAGTGTATAGAAAATTAACCATAGTAGTTGAATATTTACTTGAGTAACTTCATTAATAAGTTTGTACTTCAGTTGTTTTTGGCACCACATTTTTACTTCTACATGAGTAATATGTTGGACAGTGTCACTTACAGGAGTAAAAGTGTTGGCTCTACACACATTTGTAGTTTTATGATTAGTGTGAGTAGAAATGTGACCATTTCACCAAAGTTCACCATTACTGACACCATGATCAAACAACACTAAAATTCTTCATTCACATTCTCTTATAGAAAACCACTTTTGCATTATGTGACCAGCTTCATGAAATTCAACTTTCTGAATCTGAACGGTCATGATTAAATGACATAAAGAACTCAAAAATCCACCGAATTCAACTTTTGTTTGCTGTGGATCCTATTCCAGGAACACTGAGGGATTACACCAACACAAACAAAACTGGCTTTTTTTTTTTTTTTTTTTTTGATAAATAATACATTGAGTTATAACAACTTGTTTTTGCAACTAACATTTTTGGTTCTCATGCTTATATTCTGAGTGCATAACCCGAATTATTTATCTGGTGCTTTATTTTTTATTATTTATCTAGTACTTTACTTCAGTACATTTTGGTGGATACTTTTTACTTTTACCTCACTACATCTGGGAGCATGTATCTGTACTTTCTACTCCATTATCTTTTTTAAGTGGACTGAAAACATTTTATTTTTTTTTATTATAGTTTGAGAACCGCTGAAAAGCCTGAAGCAAAAACAAATATACAAATAAAAACAGCTAGGAAAAAATGCAGTCATTGTTTCTGTTGAACAAAATTCAGCACTAATCTTTATCAAAATCATTACATTAGAAGCTCAAAATCTGCATGAAATACTTCTACTTTTTACATTTTCAAACGGGTATTTCAATATGTTTGCTTTAGTAGATGTTTTCATGCGATACTTTTACTTGTACATGAGTATTTTATTGCTCAAGTAACAAAATCGAGTACTTCTTCCACCACTAAACTTAACCCTCATGAACTCATTCGTACTCAGGTGTTTCTGGTATGAGACAAAGTAGTAGTACTCACCGAAGGGGCCGGGGCGGCGTGGGTGGACAGCAGCAGACACAGTAGTATCACGCACACGCTCAAAGCTGTCATCCTGATCTCCCTTTGCCCCCTGTACTCCGGGATTTATACAGACCCAGACCACACATGACCCCACGCTCTTCACCAATAGGCAACCAGGGACCAGAGGCGGGCAGGAAGCACTACACGGTACTTCTACGAGTACTTTTCTGTCACCATTTTTGTACTTTTACTCTTGCGTAAAAAGTCTATGCTACTCTTTGCTGTCTTATATTCCAAGTTTACAATATTAGTGGCAAAGTTTCAGTGTGGTATGTGTAAAGCTGACGGTCACACTGCTCTGTCTGGCTCTGTTACTCAAGTCAGACCAAACCAGACCAAGTTACAAGTCAGATCTGTGGAGAGGCGACCCCGCTCACAGTCAGAATGTTTATCTAGATATTTTTGAGCTATAAAACCACTTGTACATTTCTAAACAGGCACTTTTAATACTTTTACTTATGGAGATTGTTTTCAGGAGATACTTTTACTTATTTACTTATTTTTTTGGTTCTGGTATTTTTACTTGCATTGTGTAACTTTTCTGATGCAGGGTCCATCAAATGCTTGTCTCCAGTATGGTATTAAATGTTTCTATTTTCATGGAGACCAAACCAGACCAAGTTACAGGTCAGATCTGTGGAGAGGCGACCCCACTCACAGTCAGAATGCCTGTTTTTCTATTCACTTTTGAGCTATAAAATCACCTGTAATTGAATAAATGTAAGGTAGAGCTGTTTAATGTCATACTGTGGAACATTCCAGGCACAGCAATGGGATCTCTATAGAAACAAGCATGTGACGAACTCCCAACCAAAAAGTTACACAGTGCACCTTTAAAACATTTTAGGTGGTGTGCATTGTGTCTCCATGGTAACATTCTACCATAGAGATGCCAGAACTAAACCAGGACTAAACCAGGACTAATCTTGGACTTGAGAGAGAGGGAGGACCACGAGCCCACGGAGCAGGGTGTCCACAAAGCGCGACTGGGTGGTAGCCGCCCTTAGCTCTGCGGGCACGGAGCTCTGCGCTGGTCCTTTTTTCTGCGGTCACCCGACAGTCTATGAAGGCACAGCACCGGGCCCGTTCCGACACTCAGTCCTAGTTCAGTCCTGGTTCAGTCCTGGTGTCGTACCCCCACGTACCACTCCCACTACACCCCTGGTCATGTGTGATGCGCTGTATAGTTTGGCTTTATGGGAGGCTTATGAACAGCAGCATTGTAACTATTCTGTGTAGTGTTATAGGATAGTTACAATACACAAAGCGATGATTTCATTGTACAGGGCAAGACGTTTCCTTATTGTGCACATGGCAATACACACTTTAAATCTTGAATCGATTGCGTACGTAAAAATGTTTGCCCCCCAGCGCAAAAGTCAAACTCAGCAGCACTGAAATTTTACTTTGCCGGTAAGATAGATGCAAGGTGGTATCAGTCCTCCGCTGCCAAGCTTTCTATCAGGAAGTACAACTCACTGCTGCTCAGACATAAATCCTTCAAATGCAAGGTTGGTTTTACTTCTAAAATTATTCAGTCGACACAGACATTTACATCAGTAGTCTGGCGTAATAACAGATTTGCTTCGGGTGTTTTGTGGACTGGATGGAATATTTTAACCCTCTCGAGGCAGGCGTTGCAGATTTGCAACAGCTAAATGCCAATTACCTACTTACTTCACATCCATATTTTATGAGCTTTTTTAACTCAGGAGCCTTTTTGTCCCATCCATGCTGATAAACGTGGGCAATGCAGACTGTGCAAGAATGGCTACACGCAAACGACCTGCCAGAAGTGCAAAATACTTTTTTTGTTCACAAAGGATAAAAAAGTCAGGATGGTATATTACTACCCAATATTATAATTTTCTCCAAATATTAGATTTTTCCTGATACTAAAAATGTATTTGAGCCTGAGAGGGTTAAAAAGTGTCTCCACACGTCTCCAACACTCTGGCTCACTAGGGAAACGAGGTCCTATGTCCAAAAATTCCGGACTGTCCCTTTAAGTGTGAAGAGAAGGTGAAGTTACAGGTCAGATCTGTGGAAAGGCGATCCTGCGTACAGTAAGAATGCACCACGCAGGATCTGTTGGTTGTCTAAAGATGACTATGGTTTATTCAATAACTGTATCTCCATCAGTCACAAGAATACCCACATCTATGAGTAACATTATCTTTAAAAAACTGTCCCATTCTTTAGATGACTTCTCTAATTGTTTTTGTGTTTTTGAGGCCAGCCGTCACTATCATCTCCACAGCTGCATGACCCTGCGCTCTGTAGTCAAGGTGCTATGCTGCAGAACAGGTTACTCTGTGGGCTGTACCTTCAGTTCCTCATAAGATTTAGGTTATCAGTTCCTAGAATCAAACAGCTTGAATAAACCCAGAAGACGTCAGGTTTCCTCAGCACTGACTTTATTCTGGAAGTTGCCAGAGACACCTTTATCATTCTGGTTGTGATTTTGCTTTGGGGTGTCAGATCTCAGCAGTAAATAAACTCCACAGAAACTACAAAGGCATTTTCAAGATACCGAGTCAAAAGGGCGCATTGTTGACCTGTTGATGCGCATTAAAGGAAATGTGTATGCTACTGAAATGTGTACACTAAAAGTCTAAAGTTTTAAAACACCACACTTTATCCAGATACTGTTACTGTTTACTGTTGACCAAAATGTATTCATAAAAGTGTCCACCTTTGGCAGATATAACAGGCAAACACACTCGTGGCTCGTTCTTTTTACAACAGAAATCAAATATTCTTCAGAAAGTTCTTCCCAAGTCTGTTGCAGAAGTTCCCATAAATGTGTGGCACTTGTAGGTTGTTTGACTTTCATTCTTCAGTCCAGTTCATCCCAAACCGGCTCAATGGGGTTTAAGTCTGGAGACTGTGCTGGACACTGCATGTTTTCAAGTTTTACCATCTTGTTCTTTTTTCCTGAGGTAGTTTTGGCAGAATTTGGACTTGTGTTTTGTTATCTTTTATCTTTTTCTTTAACCACTGGCTGCTCAGTACCATAGACCGTATAAATGAGTGGACATAGCGAACACACAAGCCGCTGCAAAACATAGATCAGAAAACAGCATAATATAGTCGTCCCTCTCTATATTGCGGTTCACCTTTTGCGGTCTCGCTGTTTCACTGATTTTTTTGTGCAATTTTGCATGCTTTAAAAAAAAAAAAAAATTATAGTGTATGTATGCTTCGGAAGTCCTGGTTCAGTTCTGGTTTAGTTCTGGTTTAGTCCTCTTATTCAGTCCTGGAATCAGTCCTGGGTTAGTCCTGGGTTAGTCCTGGTTTAGTCTTGGTTCAGTCAGTGGTGTATGCAGCTCAAATGTTTGATATAATCTCGGGTTAACAGGCGGGTGTGGTGCTGTACTGCACAGATGCAGGTCTCCAAACATGGACCCGTGCAGGACTCTGCGCTGTAGGATCCATCACGGAATAAATGAATCTTCGGTTCGTTACATAAAGAAGGAGGAAAATAACAAAAGGACAACAGCAGCAGTAAGTTTTAAGAAGGATGCACAGAGGGTTGTAACTGTCCTGTCTGAGAAAAGTGTAAAAAGTGTGTGGTGAGGGGTTTTACAGCCTTAAAACAGATATAATAATTGCAAAATATAAAGCTGACTACTTTGCGGATTTCACCCATCGCGGGTTATTTTTAGAACGTAACCCGCGATAAACGAGGGAACACTGTATAGGCCCTTTAACCTTACGTAAACTGTGCCCTTTAAATATGAACTGAAGTCACCTTTTAGCAGATCATAAAATCTTGTCTATGACTCAAAGCTGATATAAAGTAATATAAAGCATGTGTGAGCCGGTCTGATACTAAGGAGTGAGCTTGAGGGTAGTGACACATTCTCTGCATTCACCTGCCTCGGCACCTGCCTCTGCACCTGACGCTTACAATGAGACAATGAGACTCAACGATCCCACAAGTATTTATTAAAAAAACAAACAAAAAGATGATATACAGACTGAATATGAATGTTTATGAAGTGAAAGTACAGAAAATGTTTTGTGGAGATGTGTTATGGTTCGGCTTAAAAGTGCATTGTGTAACTTTTCTGGTAGAAGGTTCACCATCTTGAAATGTTCTACAGTATGGCATTTAATTTAACTATTTCCACGGCGACAAGCAGGCCACGTCACCAAGCCAAGTTACAGGTCAGATCTGTGTAGAAGTCACATTAATACTGCATGTTTTGCAAAAAATTTGGAAAAATAACACACCTACTGTATAATAGAATAAATGCAAGATATACTTGTTTAATGCCATACTGTGAAACATCCCAGAGAAAATTATAACATCACCATGGAAACAAGCAGTTGTCGGACCCTCCAAGAAAAGTTACAAGATGCAGCTTGGATCAATTTTAGCTACCAGTGGAGTATACTTTTGAAATTTATTGCTAAAACATGTAGGTATATTAAAAAAAAAAAAAAAATACTTTGAGGAATAGCACAACCAATATATTTTACGTAGAAAAGAGAAAAAAAAACAACAAATACAAATTTTAAGGTGCAGTATGTCACGTTTCTAGAGGGCCTGTCATCGTTGCTTTGTCTAGAATGTTCCACAGTGTGACATTAAATTTACTGACCTCTATAGAGCCAAGCAGGAGATGCCATCAGGCCAATTTACAGGTCACATCTGTGGAGAGGTGACCCCGCTCCCTGTAAGAATATACGCTTTTAATGGTATTTTTGAGCAATAAAAACACACATAAACGAATCAGCGCATGGTAGAGAAGTTTAATGCCATACTGCGAAACATTACAGTCAGTTCATTAACATCTCCATGGTGGCATACCCCCCCCCACCACCAGAAAAGTTACATATTGCACCTTTGAAGTAAAAAAAAGTAGCTTTACAAAAAAGTTTTACAAAATATATGCATCCATGAATCCGTACAAATATGTGACAAAATTTAAAATCAAATTCAAAATAAAGAAAAAGTTACACCATTTTAAAATCCGCAGGTTATAAAACTTTCCACGAGTTTATACAGCAACTGACAGTTTCTATATTGTACCAAAAATTGCCCAACCTGTTTAATATATTTAATTACTCATACATTTTATTACACTTGATTTAATTGCGCCAATGCAAACAGAAAAAAACAGTGCCACACTCTTCTGCAGTAAAAACATCAACAATGAGTCACTGTCAGTTCTTAATAACCATAAAATACATGATAAATTCCCTAAAAGTGTCATTAAAACGTCTAATTATTATGCATATGTGTTCCACCTCGACACACCTTAGTTTCTTTGAAGTCATCTTTTGGATTCGGTTCAACAGTAAGTGGCATTTAGTAGATGCAGTTAAGGGAACAAGCTATGAAGTGTTTCGAACGATGCAGCTGTTTTATGTAACTTGTATTTAAAGTCCTGCTGTGGAACATTTCAGACTCTGTGCCTCTTCTTTACTAGTGCGACTAACACGGAACATTTAAGCAGTGCCATAATCCAGAGCAACGCAGCAAAGTAACACATTTATCAAGATACTTTTCAACAATATAAACCTCTGTAACGAAATAAATGCTTGTCTATGTATTGAGAGAAATGTTCCGCAGCCCAGCTTTAACATACAAGAAAATTAGAGGTGCGATCTTTCTGCTTGGGGCGTCCTCAACCTCAACCTGGAGATGTTATTGCTTTGCCCGTAATGTCCCAATGTGTGGCTTTAAACTTGAGCTCTAATCTGTTTTTGTCTTTATCCAGTTATTGCTACAGAACACTTTGAAAATACATGTATTCTCACTGTGAGCAACGTCACCTCTCCACAGATCTGACTTGTGATAGTATAGTCAGGGTTCCCGAAGTCATGGAAATTGAAAATGTAACTGTCCAGGCCTGGAAAAGTCATGGAATTTTGCAAATCCAATGAAAGTTTTGGAAAAGTTATGGTGTTTAAATATCTCTTTCATTCATCTATTATGATTATTTCAGAACCTTTTGTTTAAACGAGACGACAATAAATGCACTGACAGTATTTTGAATGTTAAAAACTATAATCCCAAACCATAAGGTGAGTGGAAAGGGTTAACATTTCATATTTAGCTCTAAAAGTCTGATCAATTCTACACATGTAGATCATAAAGTCATGGAAAATTCACTTTAGGTCATGTAAACATCATGAAAAAGTTTTGAAATTTCGTCAGTGAAAAAGAGCGGGAACCCTGTATAGTTTAGTATAGTTTAATGAGATTTTTGGAACATTCAGTGCAAAGCAAAAACATCTCACTAGAAACAGACAAGCAGATGGCAAACCCTCCATCGGAAAGGTTACACAGTGCACCTTTAAAGTACTGATCAACAGTGATTATATAAATGGGCCTTATGAGGTTAAGGGTAGCCCCGCCTTGGATTTGAACGATTTAAAATTACAAATAAAAACACTATCTAGCTTATTGAATTTCAACTCAAAACATTGAAATTTATCCAGAAAAATAAAGTCCCAAAACTGCATCACCAAACACCATTTACAATTCAATACATTCAGGTTTAAAACATCAAATTGACACATCATATAAAAAAAAAAATCTCTCATATACATTCAATATTTACATTTAGTCATTAGAACATCACGTGTATAGCTGGAAAAGGCCACACCACTCCTACACATGTCAAATCTCCCCTCAAGAAAAGTATCATACCTGTGTTCTGTTCAGTGAGATTGCAATGACAAACATAAATCTATAGGCTTATGTTTAACCTGTTCTACGTGTCCTGTCAAGCCTGCAAAATGAGAAACCCAAGCAGCCCGTTTTCTCTCGAACGCTTCACTTGAGCTATTGAAAACACACTAAGATGTATAGAGTACAGCTAAGCTACACCAGAACACACACAGCCCCTATGCAGCATGTGCATTAAACACACAAGCGTTACAGAACAGAAAGTCTTTATTACTACGAACACGAAACTTGTCTTAAGTCCAGTTGAAACATGTTAAACTGCAAAACGGCTATGAGAAGACCTGAGTAAAAACATAAACCAAAACTTTAGCACCACCAAGACACTTCCACTGGGCGTGTTGAGTTGAAGATGCTTGTCTCATGTGAAGGTTCTTGCTTTTGTCTATAGTATGGCATTAATACGTAAGCCGAGAGGGGTCACAACAAACGCAAACGCCGCAAAAAAACACAAATGCGACAACACAACAAAAAGCCACAACACGCCAAAAAAAAAAAGCCACAACGGAAATGACCGCGGGACTAATGCAAATGCCGCAACAAATACAAACGCCACAACACAAACGCAAATGCCGCAACACGTTAAAAAGCAACAACACATCAAAAAGCCACAACGGAAGTGACCGCGGGACTCTATTTTCCGACGGACCGATCAAGTGGCAAGTGAAGAAGAAGAACTACAACATGAAAAGTAAAGGAACGGAGAAGTTGGAAACGTAAGTAAAAGTAATTTATTGTTTTATCATTATTCGTTTCACGTTGTAGTTCTTCTTCTTCACTTGCCGCTTGATCGGTCCGTTGGAACATAGAGTCCCGCGGTCATTTCCGTTGTGGCTTTTTGATGTGTTGTGGCTTTTGCGTTTGTGTTGTGGCGTTTGTGTTGTGGCATTTGTATTTGTTGCGGCGTTTGCATTTGTTGTGACCCCTCTCGGCTTCTGTACATTAAGTATTTTTTTCAGAGCCAGTGTTTGGGTCACCTCCCCCGCAGATCTGGAACCTCATTTATAAAGCTTGCTCACTAACTGCGGGATTTATGCAACTTTATACTAAGCGCGGTGCTTTCCTTATATCTACGGCAGCTCGGACCCTGCTGGAAGCTCAACGCAAAGTCTGGAAACATGGAGAAAAAGCGACGCTCGTGGAGAGGAGCTGAAGTGAAGAGAAGTCATCAGATAACAATTAACAGATGAGTCATTATTTCCGCTTTGTGTTGCATCTTTTTGGATGAAAAGCGCTATGCAAATAAAGACTGATTGACTGATTGTTGTCACTGTGTTGTTTTGTGTTTATTTGTTGAACCTTGTTTGAACCTTTGACATGGCGTCTCCGCCTCCATCTCTGTCCCGCGTGTTTCTGTCAAACCCACTTATTATCGGCTCATGATTAGGTAAATCTCATTCACAAATCACTTTGCGAGCTCCTTTTATGGTGAGGTGGAGCTGTGCAGAGGCCATGATATTGGTTTAGATTCTAGCTGCAGGTGGAATCCATAAAGCACCGATTTCCTGGTTCTGTGTGTGCGGTGGGTTTTCTAAATTTGGAGTTTATGTGACGCACGCCTTTTGTGACCATTAGGAGTATGCACTAACTTAGGACAACTCCTACACAGTTCTTATTAAATGAGGCCCGTGATCTGTAACGTGACACCACCTGATTGTCTCCATGGAGAAAGACAAGTTTAATGCCATACTGTGGAAAGCAATCAACATCTCTATGGACACAAACCCCCACCAGAAAAATTTAGAAATGCACCTTCATTTTTAGTTAATATTTTATCTTAAAATTGCAACTTGCAACTATTTTTTAATGTTCAATGGTATATAATTCAGAAACCAACACTGTGGTTATCTCTTTTGTTGATATGTAATTCTAAGGACTATTATTAGTTAAGTTTAGATGTTTATGATAGCTTTGTTGTTATGATTGGCGGAACCAGATTTTATGACAGGTTTCAATTACCAGAGGAATGTGACTCAACAGCTCTTTTGTTTTTTCAGTTGACGATAATTAGCATCTAGTCGCTTGATCCTTTTAGTCATGTCTTTAGAATCTGGAATGTAGATGGTCAGCTTGTAGTTAGCCACTCTGTACCTGGCCTTTAACTTGTAACTTGCTGAGACCAGTAATTGTCCCATGAGTAGTTAAAGCGTCGTAAATGAAGCACTTAAAGATGGACAGTGCTTTGTTGTTGTTTGAGATGAAGCTACCTTGTTTTAAGCCATTCCAACTGCCAATTTTGCCAATACCAAGTGCCAAAATCTGTACATTCCACAACTGCGTGACATTTTTAGTGGAGGGTCATGACAGAGACAAGCAAATTACAGCACTTCGCTACATTACTGTTCACATCTGTGGAGAGTGAGCACAATTTACAGAAGGTATAATTGTATTTTTGAGCAATAGAAACACCCGTAATGAATAAATGCTACATAGGTGTGTTAAATGTCATACCACGGAACAAGCAGGTAGCGGACCCTCTACCAGAAAAGTTGCACAGTGCAGCTTTAAACAACAGTGCCTTGCCTGCTATGCTGATTAGAGTTTGGTGAGAAAACATCACCAACAGCAAAAGAAATATTTTATAGTGTACCCAAAAGTCGAGCTGGTTCATTTGGTAAATACGTAGCCTAACATAACTTATAGAAACCCACAATGCCACACAGAAATAAATGAGTAAAATAAATGAGTTGTAATTTCACTGTTGCTGTGTTCCAGCTAGTGTAAGGTTGGATGGTACAACCAGTAGTCTTGGTTCTTAGATAGACCAGTCCTGTCTACGGTTTCTACCAGATTAATCACGGTTTCTCTCTTCCCCTCTTTGCTGCTAGGAATGGACTACGACTAACAATATTCCCCAGTTTTCATTCGGGGTAATCTGTTTTTCTAATTTCCATGTTTGTAACTTTGTCCATCCATGTAATCTTAAGAATCTTTCTACCCACATCTCAGTCCAGGCATCTGATCCATACCATAATCATTGAGCCTTACAAGTGCTTCAGACATTTTAGAGAATAATGGACATTGGTAGCATTCACTGACCATTTGAGATCTTCCCTTTGGCCTTCAACAATACTTACTTAATCTGGGTTTATCAAGAATTGGAATTTCTCAATTAGTTTTAGCATCACATTAGGAAATCTCCTGACTTGACGCAACTTCAATTTCTTTTTCAGCCTCTTCTGGATCTTTTTCCTCTAGATCCTCTGATGGATATTTCTTGTATGGCTGCTGGTTCAATTTCACTGTTATTCTGATCATTCTCTTCGATGTCTGCTACAGGTTCAGGATCTTCCAAACTGCAATCTTGATCCTCCATTAGTGACTCTGAATCTTTGTCATCTTCCTCTGGTGTTGTCACATGCTCTTCATTCAACAATGAATCTGTTTTGTCATCTGTGTCTTCAGTGTCAGCTTCTTTCCGTTCAGAAGGCACTTCTTCCTCCAAGATGGCTACCTCATCCCTTAGCTCTTCTTCATCCAATCCAGTATCTTCTGTCTCTTCCACAGATGGACAAACATCTTCAGTAACAACATCTACATCTTCTGGCTGCACACTTGAATTGGAATCATTTTGATCACCGAGATCATCACCCAAATGTGAATTATCTTCTTCTTTTAACTCCAAATCAGGAGTTTCCTCTATATTATCTTCTGTTTGCTCTTCTACCTCTTGTTCACCTTCATTTGAGTCTGGTTCATCAATTTGACTTTCAGCAATGTCTTCATCTTGTTCAGAATCTTGCTGTTCATCTGTAGTTTCTGCAGTAGTATCGTCTGGAAGAATTTCTGCTGATATTTCTTCTTCCGTTTCGCAAGCCAATTCTTTTACTGGTGTAATTTGCTCATCTACTTCAACATCTGAGCTAACAAGATCTTCATTCATGGGTGTCTCTTGCTCCTCATCTGTTGTCATCGGTTGATCTTCTTGTTGGCTTGGTTGCTCTTCAGATGACACTGTATCTTCTACAGCTTCGTCAGGTTGCTGGACATCCTCATCCTTCTCTTCAGTGTCTGCTATGGGGTCAGTGTTTAAATCTTTCAAATCTTGATCCTCAGCTGGTGTTTCTTCATCTTTTTCAGTGTCTTCTGATGTCGTCTCATTCTGCTCTTGATCAGATTCTAAACCAGCTTCAGCTTCCTCTGCGATGGTGTCAGGAATCAACTTCTGTACTGGTGACTTTGCAGGTTGTTCAGCTTCGTCATCAGCAATTGGAGATGTGTCAATTTCTGTTTCTTCAGCTAAGTCTTCAGAAGTGTCAAGATCTTGGTCATGCATTTCCTCTGTATTCACTTTATCTGTCAAAGGTTCACGTTGTTCGTCAAGTTCTATGGCTGAATCTTCTTCTGGTGGGTTCTCAACACTTTCCTCCGACTCATTTCCCAAAGGCTCCTCTGTATCTGCAACCATTTCTGTATTTTGCTCATTTTCCTCTGCTGAATCTTCAACAGTTTCAAGATTTTGGTTCACATTGCTTTCTTGACAAAGATTTTCATTGTCCAAAAATGTAGAATCTTCTTCCAGTTCTTCAGCTTCTGAAGGAATTTGCTCTTCAAGTTCAATTTCAGCTGGGTCTTCTACCTCCTGGTCATGTATGTTGGCATCTTCAGGTTCAAGGTTCGGTTCTTCTATTTGACTTTCTTCAACAACTTCTGGATCTTTCTCCTGAACCTCATCATTTGCTTCCTTTTGTTCATCTTGAGGCATTTCCTTTTCTTCTTTTTCTGTGGAAGGTGCAATTTCAACGGCAACCTCCTCTTCTAGGTGAGTTGAGATATCAGCATTTTGGTCCAATAAAGTTGTGTCTTCCTCCAAAGTTGCATTAAAATCAAGGTTAGGTTTGTCTGTTTGACTTTCTTCAACAACATCTTGGTCCATTTGGCTTTCTTCAACAACAACTTCTGGATCTTTCGCCTGAACCTCATCAACTGCTATGTTGTCTTCATCTTGAGGCATTTCCTCTTCTTCCTTCTCTGTGGAAGATGTTATTTCAGCAGCAACCTCCTCTTCGATGTTAATTGAGATATCAGTATTTTGGTCCACTAAAGTATCTTCCTCCACAGTTCCATTAGAGCTAGATACTTCTTTGGCCGTGTCTTCAATAATTTCAAAAACATCGTCAACCAACTCTGCATCTTTTTGGTCATTTTTAGGTTCTGCTGGGTCATTTGTGGATACAGTGTCTATAACTGATTCAATTGAAACTTCAACATCCTGGCTGGTTGAAATGGTGTCTTCCAGGCCAGTAATATCTTTTGACACCTCTAATAAGCTAGCTTCTGTTGCAATTGCAGGTTCAACTACATTTGGGCTATCTTCTGTTTTGTCTGAGAGCTCTGAATTATTCTGAAGCACTATTTGAGGTTCGGGTATTTGTATTGGCTGCTCAATAGTAGGATCAGTTGTTATTTCTATAATAGTTTCAAGTGGAGAGGTGGGTGACTTAAGCTGTACATGTGGTGTAGGTACTGCATTCAGAATATTGTCCTCTTTTACACCTTCTGTTACATTTTTGTTGATATGTAAATTCTTGGGAACGGTTTTGCCTCTTTTTGTTAATGTTTTTGAAAAGCTTTGTCCACCTATGTCTTGTTCTGATTCTTTAGGAATATTTGCAGCTTGTGTTTGTACCAATGGAGCACTACTTTGAATTATATTTACCCCTGCATTTTGAGGTGCCCCGGGCCCCACCCCCAAAACCCGTACTGGTGCTAATCCTATGTGCTGCGGCTGCACAACCCAAGCCCCCCCCAATGGTTTGTTTACTGTTGCTAACCCCCTAATGCTAGTCAAAGGGTGTCCCGGCATCACACCGATGACACTGGGATGGGCTGCGTGGCCTAGGACCCCCTGAGGAGGAGCAGCCTCTTTCTTCAGGACAGCACCTTTGGGTGAAGTACCCTCAGGCGAGCCTGGGTTAGAACTGTCTGTTTCACTCGAAGTAGATTTAATAGTGTCCTTGACCAGCATATAGTGGCCTTCTGGGTTGGGACCGATTATCTTAAAGCCCTCCATTCCAACAATGCCTGGGGAACCTGGGCTCCCTGAAAGCAAAATGGTCGGACTTGAAGGGCTGGCTGTTGCAGTGGTAGGACTTCCAGGGAAAAATACTGTGGGACTAAGTGGACTTGCAGAGGTAAGAGAACCACTTGCAAAGCCTCCACTGACCCCTGAACTCTTAAGGATGTGAGTGGATGACTGGGTCACACTGCCTGCCTGACCAGCAATCTGTGGACCACCCATTACAATATAACCAGGCAGTTTTGTGTTAGCTCCACCTTCCGCCACCAGGACGGTATTCGACAATGATGGCTGCATTATGTACTGTACGGGCATTGGCATAGGACTGGCAGCATAGAAAAGTTGTGGCTGTTGGACTAGTATAGTTGGAGGAGCACGTGGCAGAGTAGCTATGTGGCTAACATTAGACGTGCTAATTTTGGATGAACTGTTTATGTTAGATGTTTGGTTGATGTTGGATGCTACATTAGTCACCTGTGAACGTGGAAGAGTCAGTGAAGGCTGTGGTGGTTGGCTAACATTGGTAACACTTGACTTTGAGATGTTAGTCACCTTTTCTGTTTTCACATCAGTATGTTTCTCAATAATCTTCTCAACTTTGGGAATAACAACCGGTTCAACAAATTTCTTCTTAACCTCCGTCTTGACAACACCCTTGAATGTCAATTCTGGCTGAGGGAGTGGTGTTGGTGAGCAGATGTCTGCAAGGATTCTGAACTTTGGTCCCAAATCGTCAAGGAACTCTAGGTCATTCTCGTTCTCCAGGAGGCTACAGCATCCCACCGACCCGGCAGGAGAAGCCCGGCCCTCATCATCATACACCAACAGGGCATCCTTTCCAGTAATAGTCTGGGCAGATTTCTGTTGGGACACAAGTGACATGGTGATGATAATGTAAGGAATAAAAGCACAACAGTAACACAGGAGTCTTGTTCTTGGCAACTCTAAACTCAAGATTCTTTTACCGAATGGTTGGTGTTGGAAACGAAATCCTATCATGATTTTTAAAAAGATGACATTTTAGATTTCACACAACTACTCTTTTCATTCACTGTCAAGCCTATGTAAAACCACCTCATTCTGAAATAGTTGTCTGTCAAACATCTAATATCCTAACACCCTAACCCTGTTCCTCAACCATGAACAATGACTGCACATGACCACTATCCCTATAAAATTCAATTCATCATAAACCCACCTGTGTGTAGTACTCTTCCAGGAAAGCATCAGGGAGAGCGATGTTCTCAAACAGTGAAGTCTGATGGTCATATATTGCCCTTTGTCCATGGATAGACAATGCATGCATGTATTTCTCGTTGAATTTTTTGTGGGTTTCTTCGTCCATCACCATTTTGCCTTCACTATTTATATTTACAAAGGACTCATTGAACTCGTTTCTCGTTGTTATGATCTCTTTGATTTTGTTGGTTATTCCACTCTCTTGTAGTGTTTGGTGGCCGATAACTATCGGAGCGCTGTAAAGTGGTACCTCCTAAAAAAAAATATAACAGGAAAATATGTCAAGATTATGCCAAAATAACTAAATTTATAATTGCAAAAGAAAATGTATTCCTGTCAACTAAAGCTTTTAAGAGTGACTACATGTCCATACATAGCTTTTTTCAGTTCTTACAGGGTTCTGTTAAGTCATTGACTTAAATATCTGCCTGAAGTGCTACTTTTCTTTAACACTATGCTCTTTGAGGAAAAAGTCAGGTACTCAGGCTTTAAGTCCAATTGAATTAAACTCTTTTTTTTTTTTTTTGCATAAATGTTTATGCCCCTAATGAGTCATTCAATCCCTATTAGGATGATTAGCCCTACTATTGGTTTTTGTTTGGGTCTGAGGATGGAGTTATTAATGGGTGACAAGTAGTAACGTAGGCCCCCATTTATGTTCAAAGATACTAGACCAAATTAAATAAATCTTATCTTTTCAAAACTTCTAAAATCATGATTTAAAATTCAAAATTCATATAATTTACGTAGCATATTTCCACTAAGCAACAAACAAAGAAACAATAAAAAAAAAAATACCTTATCATCTCCTCTGCCTTCTGTGTGATAGGCAATGAGGTGCTCCTTACAATCGATATCACATGGCAGTTCTTGGAATTTGTCGGCGAATATCACGTTAGGCCCTCCACACTGACAGAAGACCAACAGACAAGGGACAACTGTGGAAAAGAGGAATATGATATGAACAGTGTTGAGAAGTGACTAAATACATGTACAAAAAATACACATTCTGAATACTAATTTTGAGTAACTATATTACTGTACAGTTACTTTTTCATCGGGTGTTATTCAGAATAAAACGGCTTTCCTAATTAATTAAAAGGAAAACTTAGAGATAACTGATCACATAATTTTAGCTTTGGATTGCACAGTTTTAGTGTGTGCATGTGATTTTTCCTTCGCTAATTAGACATAGGTGAAAAAAATCAAGCTGTTTGCAATGTATAGCATGTTTTTGTACACTATAATATAATGCAATTAGATGTAAAAGTATTCCAAGTATTCAAAATAGAGTACTTTGGATCAGAATACATTACAAAATACATTTTAACTACTGTAGTCAGTTTTCTGTAACTCAGTACATTTACAAGATATTCTTCACTTCTTCCATCACTGAATATGAATATACATCATTTTAATATTTCCAGTTAAAAAGTTTAAGACATTTACTACCTCAAACTAAATAGACAGAATTTAAAATATGTTTCTACAGGGTTCCCATGGTCATGGAAATCCTGAAAAAGTTTTCCTGGCCTGGAAAAGTCATAGAATTTTGTAAATTCAGTGAAAGTTTTGGAAAACTCATTGAATTTTAGTATCTCTACAACATTCTGTTAATTTATCATTAGGCTATTATGATTATTTCCAAATGTATGCACCTTTTGTTTAAAAGAGAGGACAATAAATGCACTGACAGTATTTTGAATGTTAAAAAATCTATAATACCAAACCATAAGGTGAGTGGAAAGGGTTAACATTTCATATTTAAATCTAAACGTGTGATCAATTCTACATATGTAGGGTGCTGTAAAGTCATGGAAAATTTACTTCAGTTCATAAAAAAGTCATGGAAAAGTTTTGAAATTTTGTCAGTGAAAAAGAGTGGGAACCCTGTAGCCTCTAGCTCTGAAAATGTTCCTTTTTGTCACATATCAAGGATCAGGACAAGGAAATTATGACTCTTTTCCAATACAATGCTGGGTCACTGTTGTTAAACACATCTTTCACTCTATAATGCCAGAAAACCTTTGAATGAACACTATGGCTAGTATTTAGTGTCTTAAATTCTCCATTGGTTTAACATTAGGTTCAGTGAAAATTCTATGAGGTGTGGTGTCATAATCCTGAGCTCTGTTGGATGCACTTTTGTCATCTTCATATAAACGCCCTTCAATACTGGACCCTTGCATTTAACCTGTCACTGCCCTGGATCCTTTCTCTAGTTTTAAGCTGGGTTCATAGTCAGGACTTCCAAGCTGGAGAATGGGCCTATTATTAATACTTTGCAATGACATCACGCTATCAAAAAATACAAAATGGATTTAAACAGCACATTTTCAGAAGCCTGTGATCAATACAAGTGTTTATAGTCCTGTTAAGGAGTTTGATTTTCTACAAAAAGGTGAGAGCAGCTACCTGAACAGAATCGTAGTTAGCGTGTGACAGTCATTTTATGTGTGAGAAACTCGTTTAAGTGCACAAATCATCTCACTTGTTGTAGTTCCAACCATGTCTGCTCTCTCTAGTCAGACTGTGTAAAAATAAAGCTCAGATTACATCTAGTTTCACACCCTCAGCTGCAAAGTTGTTATCTTCTTACGACCTCTTGTTTGTTTTTCTTCTTATGTCTTGTGGACTAGTATTACTAGTTACTACACTTGTATATTAACAATTGACATCAGTCTCTTGTTAATTTTGCTACTTACTTTGAGTTTGTTATTACCATTTATATTTTTGCTCTTTGTTTTTATAATATATTGTGATGAGTGAACTACTGTGTCCAAATAATGTCCCTTGTTGATCAATAAAGTTTGTCTCAATGTAAGTTTAAGTCTAAAGTCTCAGTATTGCATATTTACTGTCAGTTGAAGAGTGTGGGCAGACTTACAGAGCAGCATACAAACAGCCACGAGCAAGAGGGAAACAGCAGGACCAGCGAAGTCCACGGCGCGGTCACTGGTTGTGGCCACTTTGATGCCACAGGTGGCGTCCTCCTTGCCTTTACACTCGCATACTTCCACAGTGAACTCCTCCGGAACGGGGCAGGCCTTACCCTGGGCGTCGTAAACAACCACCTCGATCTCATATATGCCCCGCCAAAGCATCTCCTGAGAGTGAAGGGCTGCTGAGGTATCTAAACAAAAGAGTAAAATAAGATGAAACCAGGTAAGAGTCATTTTAGAGAACCTTAAATTTCTGAAAATTGGCATTCTCATTGCCTTGCAAATCCAAATCTGTTGCAACCTGAGCCAGAACCAAGCACTGACTTTTTTCCTCTTAAGCAATCATGGCCATCATAAAAAGGTGGAGACCCATTGGTGACCAGACACATCTTCAAGTATTGATCATAGATTGTATAAAGAAGTGGACTAAGTGAGTGTGCTTTCAGCTTGCAATGCTAGAGGATACAGGGGAGAATATAGAGTCAGGCTCCATGTTATGAATAGGATTTTTTAATGAGCAAGATAGCGTAAAAAAAACAAACAAAACAGGATCACGTAGAGTGGGTTAATACAGATATTTGAAGACCAACTTGATGAGGCTCACTAAAGCAGTCACAGAAAGAGGGGTGACAATATTCCAGTGTAAGTCAATGGAAGCCAGGGTCAGTAGGAGCCAGAAGAGCGCGCATGTGAACTTCCTGTTGGGAACGCGGCGGCTAGTACATTTGCTATGTCTATTTATATATACAGTCTATGGCAGGTGTCATCTAACTGAGGCTCGCCATGCCCCTTTGACAGATCCCCCAGCCCATGGCCTCATTCATGGCCTATTTTTTTATATTACTTTTTGGCAATAATAACATGTCTGCATCTTGTATTTTGTGGATTTTTCAATAAAAAAAATATATTTATGTGAAGTATTTACATTTATGTTTAAATAATTATATGACGTATTTACATTTGCTGCTGAATTTTCGTCACCTGACAGGCTTGAGATCAAACAGTGACAGTTCAATGCACGTGCAGAGTACTGTAGTGCAGTTAGAGCAATAAATGAAATATCTGTGGTCTTTCAAATTAAAACAAACTGTGAAGTACTTACTACTTTTGCAAACCACTAGTAACGATAAACAAATATGTGCCAGGAATTATGTGGTTGATATAATATCGTGGATGGTCGTACCAGGCTTGTAATTTCTTCTACACAATGAGCCATGTTGGTGGTAATTTTGGTTTTGGTCATACTATTCCGTTAGACAGCCATCCTGACTCCTGCCCCCCATCAGTCAGCGCTAATATGGCCCCCAGAGAAAATCGTTTGGTGACCCCTGGTTTATGATACTGACCAAGTGTGTAAAGAGTACACCAGGACTAAACTGTGATTAATCTTGGTGTAATTCATAAATACACTGAAAATGAACAAAATGAACCGAACTCAGACTCAATCAAGATGTAAATCAATCACAACTATTCAGGTTTTTTGTTATATATATTTTCTATTTTGTATGGTTGATTTGCTTTTTCTTCTGTACCTACCACTAAGACTTTCCACCTCCCACGGGCCGCGTGTGTTTTCAGGGTTGATCTTAAAGGTGAAGGGAGGTCCATTGGGGTCCACGTCTTCATCCTCTGCGAAGACAATGACAGTCTTTTTGTCAGCGCAGATGGGCTCATAGAGTGTCTTCAGTTTGGGACAATGGTCGTTGGCATCCAGGACTTTGATGGCTATAGTTCCTGTGGCAGTCTTTGAAGGCATGTCTGAAGGAAGAAAGATGACACTTTATTAAATATGTTGATGTTTAAAGGTCCTGTATTAAACAAAATGGACTTAGGATTTGTGTGTTAAACATGTGTGAATGAAACAAAACACAACTCCAGGTATGTTTGTGATGACGTTACAACTAGAGCCCGACCGATATGGATTTTGTTGTGGCCGATATGAAACCGATATAATGAGAGTTGGAGCTGCCGATAGCCGATATAATCACCGATATATTTAGTGATGTAAAAATTCACTGTAAATCTTGAATTGTTTAAAAAACTAAGGTTTGGCTCTAGTGGATTCTAAATTGGGTTTATTTAGGCAACATTTATTGTTATTCTGCCTCTTTACGTCATATTTACAGACAGTAGATTGGCCTAATGGCATTTTTGCATCACATTCTAGCTACTAGTGATGGGTATTCCAGTTTTTTTTTTTTGACAACCAGCTCTTTTGGCTCAGCTCACTAAAGCAGCTGGCTCTTTCGGCTCCCAAGCGAGTCTTGAGATGGTTTTGTTGCAAGCAGGACTAAACCAAAACTGAACCAGGACTGAAAAAGGACTAAACCAGGACTAAAACAGATTTAAACCATGTGTAAAACAGGAATAAACCAGAACTGAGTGTCAGGACTTGGTCTCTCCCTCACTCCAGCCCAAGATTAGTCCTGGTTTATTCATTTTATGCTGAACTGCAGCCAAATATGCACTTTTTTTTTAGTATCCTATGCAGATTTCTGAAAGTTTCGTTTTCAGCCGCTGCTGCTGTCAAACTACGGGTCTACAAGCGACTTGAAGAGAAAAAGTGAGAAAAAGAGAAAACATGGCTCCCAATAAGAAACATGCTCCCATTGTTCACCTCAAAGAGCCGGCTCTAAGAGCCGCTTCAATCGCGACCGACCCATAACCCTAACTCCTAACTAGTAAATAAACTAGCGCTATTAGCCTTTAGCCATAAAAACGTGCGTGCCGCGGTAATTAATTATATGCATAAATGTAGATCATTCACATGTCTATTCACAGCTCATTTACATATCAGTGCAGGTCCAGTAACAAATATACGCCTAATATAGTCACTTTACAATAGACCAATAGAAAACAGCCTGTTTATGTGCGGGAGCTACAGCAGCTAATCGCTAATAACAAATAGCCAAAACAAGCTTCAAATTCGATGTATTTCCAACACTCAGCTCACACAGGCTCCTCCTCACATCACAAGTCTGCACTAATAAAAGTCCTTTTAATCCAGACTCAAACCGATTGTCCTTAAAAAGAATATAATCTCAGTGTTGCGCACGGCTGCGGGTGTAAACAACAGGACGTGAGTGAAGTGACGTGACTCTGGGGGTGTGTTCAGGGACAGTATGGACACAGACAAATTACACCGCAGATAAATACTGATGTGGAGCCACATATTAGGACATTTATCTGTCTGTAAATTGGATTAAATGAACATAATGTAGAGAGTCTAAGCTTTATAACGAGGTATAACATGCCCACGTGAAATATCGGCCCATATCAGCAAGCATATCGACCGATAGCCGACATGTCTCCAGGTGCCCATATCGACCAATAATATCGGCCAGCCGATATATCGGTCGGGCTCTAGTTACATTACTAGTAACATTATAACATAATATGGGCCCTTTGAAACATGATTACAGATTTTTCATTATTGGACTCCACCAGGGTTGCCCTTTATCACTACTACTATTCATTATTTATTTGAACAGACTTTCTCTGTGTAGTTAGGGGATGGCCTGGGGACAACAAGACCTCATCTCTTTTTGTAATGAAAGAAACCACGCACTGAAAGCACTTCTGCTGCGTCACATGATAGTCAAAACTAATCTGACATGAAGTCTCAAGATGTTAAAGTTGTATTATTTTATGCAGACTTTATTGTATTTTTGTTTCTATTTTCATGACAAAAAACCTCTAGACTAAGCTTATTCCAAGTGAAAGAAGTAGTTTCAACGTCTTAGGTATTTGCCTTTGGTGGTGCATTTGGATGTCCTTGCAAAGACCTTAAACCCCCTCCCTTTTTGTCATAAATCCAGTTCACACATTATTTCAACCAGAAGCTTGACACTTTCCAGAGCCACACCTGGACTGAGCCGTCAGACGGGTTCAGTCAAACGCAAGTGCAGTAAAATCTGTCCATCATGGCTCTTATCTCAACTTGTATGAACACATTAGACAAAAGGGAAAGAAACTCTGCCTAAAGCCGAGCTGTACAGTCTCTAGTGGTAATATTTTCAAACTTAAAGATGGATTGTGTAACTTTTCTGGTGGAGGTCTTGTCTCCATGGAGATGTTATTGCTTTGTCTGAAATGTTCTACAGTATGACATTAAACTGTTCTACTTTATATTTATTTAATTACATTTTTATAGTTCAAAAATACTTGAAAAACCTTCCACCTGAAAAGTTACACACTGCACTTTTAAAATAAAGAGAAAAAAAAGTTAAATTTTGCAGCTTGGTACCTTTTGTGATGGCCAGGACCTTGGCGATGTAGTGTGTGCCGTTGACAAATTTCGACTCTCGATCTGGCACTTTGTTTAGTCGTATTTCTGCTGTTTCTTCGTCTACAGTAATCCAGTTGTCAGGATCGTAAGCTTTGGCATAACTGCAAAACAGCAAAAAGATTGAATTGATTTTACTACTACATTTATTTAATTTCAAGAAATTCTGATGGATGCTGATTTGTTAATGTCTTTTTAGAACTCAGGTTTCTAATCCTAATTTCAGGCCTGACCCAAACTTTCTCTGAGAAGACTGTCTGACTCCCTATTGCACATTTAGACATTTTATTTTTACAATACATTATCATCCAAATAAAGAAATATATGGTGGAAAAAAAATATGGTGACTAAAAGCTTCTAGAGATATTTATGTAAAAGGTATATTATTGATACATAATCTTAAATTGTTCATTCTTTTTTTGACATTTTAATTTAATAACACCACTGTCTTTGCTATAAAATGGTATTTTCATGTGCATTTTATAAGTACAATTATCAAAATATGACCGTGATAATTTTTTATCATCGACTAGTTACGATTAGGCATTGCAGTTACCTTTTATGTGATTAACTTTAAACAATTTATGTGGACTTCTGAATGTGTTTGTGGCACCTACTTGACATCTTCTGCAACCTTTCCAGTATCGGGATCAATGGCAGCGTACGTTGTGATAACATCTTCCAAGCTTTTTTCAGGATCCTCTGATATTGGCACCTCTTTGGTCTCTGGCACAAACTCTGGTCCCTCTGGCAGATTGTTCACGGAAATGTGGATGGGATAGCTGGGTTCCTTAGGTTTCTTAGGCCTTTTTTTCTTTGGCCTTGGTTTCTTGCCGGGTCCGTGGGGTCCCAAATGACCTTCTGGGTGCAGTCCGACGCCAACGCTTGCTCCGAGGCCTGGTCCCGGTGCTCCGCCTGCTGGCCCGCCTGCTGGCCCTCCTCCTGGTTTTGGTCCTGGTTTTCCTGCAGGATGAAGACCACCCCCAAGCTCCGGGTGAAGTCCGGCATCCAACCCAAGATCCACGCCCAGCTCGGCATCCAAGTCTGCGTCCAAGTCTGCATCCAAGTCTGCGTCCAAGTCTGCGTCCAAGTCCGCGTCTAACCCAGCGTCTACTCCAGCGTTAAGCCCCATGTCCAATCCTAGGTCCACTCCCATGTCCATGTCCAAACCCAGGTCTGCTCCCAGCCCTGCCCCTGCCCCTGCTCCGCCTCCGTCTCCGCCCTCTCCCACTGTCACGTCCACGTCCATCAAGATAGCTTTTCCCTTCACAAATGGAGCCACGTTCTTAATCAACAGATCCAAATCCAGATTCTGGACCTCTTCAAAATCCACAGCCTTTAGACAGAAGGAATAAATTGTAAGTATTAGGATTGTCAAAGGTACAGGAAATCAGATTTTAAGCAATTAGAAAACCACAAAAAAAATAAATAAAAGAAGATACTCGATTTGAAAAGTATTGATACTTGAAAAATCCCATAAAAATGGCAAAATTTTACTTTTCCTGAACAGTTTACACAAGTATAGAACCACATTGTATCTTACAAAAAGCATTTTTTTGTGCTGAAAGTACATTGTTTACTTTTTTCTTGATCATTATTATGGTATTAAAATTTGTATTGAACATCGAGCAATTTCTTTTCTATCAAAATTGAGTTTGAAATTTTAGTATTCTGGCCATGCTAGTAAGTATACAAGCTATACAAGAAAAAAAAAAAGTCAAATGTGTATCAAAATCTACTTGTCTGTAATCTGCTTGACTTCATCCACTCCCAGTCTTATTGCTTTGCCTGGAATGTTCCATAGTATGACATGATTTTGATGATTTTTGATGACATTTCAAGCAAAGCAATAACATCTCTATGGAGACAAACAGGTGGCAAAAGAAAACTTTCATAGTGTCCCTTGAAGGATCTTAACATTTAACAAGACCATGAGTGAAGTTTGAACCAACTCTGACCTTGACGAGTTTGAGGATGCCTTCGTTGGTCTCCTTGTCTGTTTCGATGGTGAAGAGTTTGTCCTCGTTGCCCTTGACGATGTGGAAGACGGCGAGCCAGTTGTCAGTGTGTATCAGGTCCTTGTCTATGGCTTTGATCCTCATCACCTCCACATTCTCTACATTCTCATCCACCGAGCCTGTATACTGCAAACACAACGCCAACATTTGTTTTCTTTGGAGATTGATATGATCTTGAGCACTTGTCCAACCTTAACCAAAACACTAAACTAAATCAAAATTTAACCCATATCTTAACCAGTGTTGATGACCTAATATGAAGGATTTGCTTCACTGATGTTAACCAACTAAACTGTCCATTGCCCATTATTTAATAGTTGTTTAGCTTGATATAAATGGCGAGAGATTATGAACCAATTGAGGCTTTTTCAATGCTCTGTAATTACTTAGATCCTCTTGTCTTGTAGAGAGCTTTTCCAGACACTCCAATTTCATGCATTATTCATTCACTCCACGCAAGCTACTACTGCAGCCACAGATATCACATTTACACTGCTGGAAATAAGTTCAAATGACTCAAATTAAGAAGATTTTACTTGATTTGAGTAGATTTCTAGCCAGGCTGGCGCCACCTAGTGCCTCCGCTTAATTTCATTTCTCTCCAGCGACTAGGTCACGAATTGGAATACACTAGATGGTTTGCAAAAGCCCCGGAAGTGCGAGTCCTGGCACCAGCCAATCAGCGAAGAGCCATACATTCTGCGTTGGCAACGATTCCTGAGATCGAGGATTTAAAGCCGGAACAAAGAGAATGTTTGGTGAATTTTATCAGTGGGAAAGACATTATTGCCCTTCTTCTTGTGGTATTTGGGAAAAGTTAATATACCAGTTAGCCCGTTAGTGGCGCATTACATACGCCACGACCAAATAACAGCGATTGGCTAAATAAAAAAAGTACCTGCCTACCGTCAAGCAAACGAATCCTAATACTGTGAGGCCATGAATGACGAATCATGAATGATGAATCAGGCTAGTAGATTTCACTTGACAAGTGAAATTATCTACCAATGGAAAAGGTATTGTTTTGTTTTGTTTTTTTATTTAAACAATATACAATTTAGTTTCTTATTTTAAGTGCAAAGCGATGTTATTTTTCTTATCTTAAGTGTAGCCAGAAATTTACTCAAATCAATATAACATTTTCTTAATTCAGGTCATAAAGATTCTAGTTTTTATTGCGCATACTAGGCAGGGTGAATGAAGTGTCTTGCCCAAGGACTCAACAACAGTTTTTGCCAATGACGCTCCACTCTATCCCTTGACATGACTCAGACCAGACCCACAAATCAGATTTTGACAAGGAGGTTTGACATGAATAAATGAGAACTTTAAAAAATCCCTACCCCGGACTTCTCCAGAGTGGGGACGTTGTCGTTGATGTCTAGGATTTGGATCTCCACTGTACCGGTGCCTACGAGCCCACCCGGAGCTCCTCCCATGTCCTTGACCTCGATCACCAGCTTGTAAAAGCTGTACGTCTGAGAAATGGATACAGCGTTAATAATACCTTCATTTACAGTAATCAGTACATCATCTTAAAAAAAATAACACAAGTAGACTAGGTTCACACTCCTGACAAAGATCCTACTTCAAAATCTGGCAACTCAAACTTTTCTATACCAAACCAATTGCTCTTGGGATTGATATAGTTTTTTCAAAATATTTTTTTTTAATAATTTTCTGTTCATATCTGATTACGAGAAATTTTCCAATGCACTGCTGTACGATTACGATATACGATTTCAACAAAAAAAGCAGACTATCACAGGAATCAGATGACATGATTATGATTAGTTTTTATCGCCATATTACAAAGCCCATTAAATCGAAATTGAGTTTTATTTCATTATTTCATTATTTTTTTTAATCTGCCCGTAGACTGTATAAAGAAGTGGACTGAGGGAGTGATATCGTCCATGGTGTTCAGCTCCAGTGAAATGAAGCTCATCGAGGCTGGTGGTTATAGGGGCGAATTTGGAGCCGAGAATTTATTTACAGAGAAAATAGCAAAATCAAAAACATCAGAATCATTGAGAGAGGGTTAATACGAACAAAATGACGAAGTTGACTGTAGCAGATACAGAGAAAGGGGTGACAATTTTTTTGTGTTTATTCAATCTGAAATAGTTGAGTTAATGGAGTCAAAAGCGAAACCATGAACACTTCCTATCTGGAAAGCAACGGCTAGTGGGTTAGCTATGTCCATTTATACACTACCAGTCAAAAGTTTTAGAACACCACACTTTTTCCATTTTTTTTTTTACTGTTTACTGTTGACCAAAACATATTCTAAACTTTTGATTCATGAAAGTGTCCACCTTTGGCAGATATAACAGCTGAACACACTCGTGGCTCGTTCTTTTTACAATAGAAACCAAATATTCTTCAGAAAGTTCTTCCCAAGTCTATTTCAGAAGTTCCCATAAATGTGTGGCACTTGTAGGTTGCTTGGCTTTTACTCTTCTGTCCAGTTCATCCCAAACCAGCTCGATGGGGTTTAAGTCTGGAGACTGTGCTGGACACTGCATGTTTTCAAGTTTACCATCTTGTTCTTTTTTCCTGAGGTAGTTTAGGCAGAGCTTGGACTTGTGTTTTGTTATCTTTTTTTTTTTTTTTTTTTTTTACCTCTGGCTCTTCAGTACTTACCTTTGTACCATTTCAAGCTCTTCATTGGACATGAATTGCAATAAATAACTGGAAAAATGAGGGTGTTCTAAAACTTTTGACCAGTAGTGTAATCTATGGATGTGGCTTACCTCTCTGTCCAGTGTGGGCTCTTTGACGTACAGGTCTCCAGTCTTGGAGTCTACGCGGAACATGAACTCCCCAGGCGGCTCTTGGCCGATGATGGTGTAGTGCAGTTCAGAGTTTATGGTCCCTTCCTCATCGTCATCTTTACCCTGGACTCTCATGACCAGCGTCCCTGTGAAAGACAAATACTTCACTATGGAGGCTGGCGTTTAGAGCACGGTGACCTCATATGCTACAAAATTAATCAAGGAGATACTTTTTGGTTTGGGATGGAACGAGACAACAGTGGTGGAACGTAATGAAGTAGAAGTAGTGTAATATTGCACTTAAAGGTGCATTGTGTAACTTTTTAACATGATTGTTTCTATTAATATGACATTAAATAGCTTTACATTACATTAATTCAAAAACAGATGATTTTATAGGTCACAAAAACAGGTATTTTGACTGTGAGTGGGGTCGCTTCTCCACAGATCTAACCTGTAACTTGGTCTGGTTTGGTTTTCATGAAGATAGAAAGGTTTAATAACATAGTGTGAAACATTCGAGACAAAGAAATAACATCTCCATGGTCAAAAGTGTTTGACTCTCAACCAGAGAAGTCACACCTTTAAGAATAAATTTGAAGTATCTGTACTTTACTTGAGTAGATTTTAAAGTGGATCGTTCTAACTTCACTACATCTACGAGCAGGTATCTGTAGTTTCTACTGCACTACATTTCTGAACAGGACAGAAAAGTAAAAGTATTTTTTTGAGGTAGGCCTACATCAAAAATGGTCTAACCATCCTTACACGTGGATATTCATAGTTAACAGATTTTGGCTGTGTCCGAATGTCCACACTAAAGCACTAAGTAGGGGTCCACACCATTTGTAGGAGTATTTGAAAGTCCATTTGGTGAGTAGGGCACTCAAATTTTTTTCCACAATACAACTTGAAAAGTACTGGACATCGGAGGTCAGTAGCCCGGTCAAAATAGTCCACAGTGCATTGCGAGTGTCGAAAAAACACCAGCAGACAGCGACAGATGTGTAACGGGACACAACAAGACTGAAAGAATCATATATGCTAAGTCTTTTATGTCTTCTGCCATAAAAGTTTAAATAAAAAGTAAATTTGTAGGAGTGGGACGAGATAAAATTTCCACAAGATGAGATGAGACACGAGGCTGGATGGACGAGAACGAGACAAGACGAGATTGTTGTTTTCTATAAATAAATTGTGTAATCAAGTTCCCAATTTTTACCTTTCCGCTTTTGATTTTACTTGATTTAATATTCTTGCTGTACCACAGCTTCTCGAAAAATTTATCTCACTGGTTAAAAAAAAAGTAAAAACATGGGAATTTTCAGCATGTGTGCACCATCTTACGGTAATTTTGTCTCACAAGATCTTATTCCATACCTATAAATTTGCTAATGTACATGATTTTATTCATGGTTTGTGCAAAACCAGAGATCTGCGAACTGAACTGCCCTTTGGGATTAAGAAAGTTGTTGATTGATTGATTGACAGAAGCTCTAGTTTCTGGCATGGTTGATCCTGATTCTGAATAAAACACTCTTAAATGAACCATTACTGTGTAAAGGTGCTAGTGTCAGTGCTAGTGTCAAGGGGCTTGGGTGGACATTCTTACACAGCCTTAGATTCAGTTATTCATCTGTATAAAAACTAAATAAAAAGTACATAATATACCTACCCTTTTCACTAGATTCTGAGACGTTTCCTCTGTGCAGCTCAAATTTTGGCGGATTGTCATTTTCATCCAGGACCGTGACTGTGAGTGGGATGTCGTCCTCGGCAACGGTCCCGTTCACAAACTTAGCCACCCCCGTCAGCTGCAACACAAATGAACTTGAGCTCAACCCCTTTATTTTCTCTCTTTCCTTCAGTGTCAACAAGTACACCCACCCAAACACACACACAATTTCCACCACTGAATTGACATAAATGTTGACCCAATAAACAACAAATGCTTCTTACATTGTAGGAGGGGAACTTTTCTCGGTCCAGTTTACTAGTGCATCGCACGAAGCCAGTGTCATGATCCACCACAAACAGGTTAAATGGAGGTTTGTCTGCCCCCGCACCCGTCAGGAAGTACTCCACCTTTGCCGCTTTGTCCTTATCGGAGCGGATCTGAGGGCAAAAGGAGAAAAAAGCTGACATATTATGCAAAATCGACTTTTCAGAGCTTTTAATCGTGCTATTGTTTTCTCTTCCCATCTACAATCTCGAAGTTGTATTTGGAGTGATTCGAGCATGTTTGAGCGACGGCTAAACATTTATTCATTTTTAATTTATTTATATATGTCAAGCAGATTAATGAATAAAAGAAGTATAGATAGAAAGATAGAAATAACATCTCCATGGAGAAAAGCAACAAGAGAAAAGTTAATGATATACCTTTAAGGCAAATTCATAAACACAATCTCTAACAAAACAAAGACAACATTCAACATATCTGTATTTACTGTTTGGGGTTTCCATTCATAAATTTCTCCCATAAAGTTATATCGATCCCTATCTGTCCTAAAAAGATGCCAAGTGTAACATTTTGAGAAAACTGACTGTTTTCTCATTATTTATCTAACAGCAACCTTCAAAGCGCACACTTCTGCCTCCCACACTCATCATGACTGAGTTGTAATTAAATTGATTGAATCTCTTGGCCTATACCAACCAGGGACAAGACGGCGCAGTTCAAAAATGTAAGTCTGATTAAGCCTTGAGTCTGCCGTATGTAAATATATGACACACCTGCAGGTTCGGGCAGGTACGTGCTGTGATACTGATAAACTCGGTTATTAAAGTCTGTTTGCGAGTACCGTGTTTGGCTCGGGTCCATGTGGCGGTGATATCATCCAAGCAGCTACTGATTATGATTGTGAGAAACCCCTGGTGGTAAATCAACCAACAGGGCTACTATGACACACAATAGTGACACATTTATAGAAAACGGGGCTGGGATCTGTTCACTTCTAATTTGCATATTGATACGCTTGTGCAAATATTTGTATAACTGTAAAAATAACACGTGTAAAAAGGTTTTGGATGTTTGGGCATGATTTTAGACGCGTTACGGCAATTTCATTCACCTACAAAGTCCCTCTGACATACCAAATCTATCTATCTATCTATCTACCTTTCTTTCTTTCTTTGTATCTATCTATCTATATCTATCCTACCTACCCATCCATCTATCTGTCTTTCCCTCCGTCTCTCTTTCCGTCTGTCCATCCATCCATCTATCGTCCATCCATTCATCCATCCATCTATCTATCCACCTATCCATCTGTCCATCCGTCTTTCTGTCCGTCCCTCCCTCCATCTCTCCCTCCCTCCCTCCCTCCCTCCCTCCATCTCTCCCTCTCTCTCTCTATCTATCTATCTATCTATCTATCTATCTATCTATCTATCTATCCATCTGTCTGTTTTCTGTCTGTCCGTCTTTCTGTCCGTCCTTCCCTCCCTCCTTCCCTCCCTCCTCCTCCCTCCCTCCCTCCCTCCCTCTATCCATCCATCCATCCATCTATCTATCCATGCTACCTACCCATCCATCTATCTGTCTTTCCATCCGTCTGTCTCTCTTTCCATCTATCTATCTATCTATCTATCTATCTATCTATCTATCTATCTATCTATCTATCTATCTATCTATCTATCTATCTATCTATCTATCTATCCATCCATCCATCCATCCATCCATCCATCCATCATCCATATGTCTTTCTTTCTGTCCGTTCGTCCCTCCCTCCCTCTCTCTCTCTCTATCTATCTATCTATCCTAACTACCCATCCATCTATCCGTCCATCCATCTGTCTGTCTTTTTTCCATCTGTCTGTCTTTCTGTCTGTCCGTCTGTCCTTCCATTTTTCCATCCATGTATGTATGTATGTATGTATCTATCCATCCACCCATCTATTTATCTATCTGTCCATCCGTCTATCTATCTATAGACTAAAGAATTCGACTGAAGTGACAGACCTTTGCGATGTACTCTTTGTGTGAGTAGTCCGTGTTCTCCTTCAGTTTGGATGGAGGGATGATCCATTCTCTCTTCTTCCTCTTTCTTGATCGGGCGCCTTCACTGCTCATCAACACCTGCAACACGAAAGGAAAACTCTTCTTAAATATCTCAAATCTGTGCATTAAAGAGCCCATATTATGATATTTTCTGATCTGACATTTTTGGAGACCCAAAAACGGACCCGTGCAGGACTCTGAGACAGATTAATAATAAAGGTTTACTCAAACATGTGTGAATGAAATATAACACAATTCCAGGTTTGTTTTCAAGGAAGTAACAACATTTTAACATGTCTTAAAGCTGACAAGAGTCCATTTTGTGTAATATAGGACGTGTTTATTTAAGTACACAATATTTACAGATGGAGAGAAATACTTCATGTGTACATTTATTGCACAATTAAGATGCAAGGATCATTCACATAGTTACCAGACTCACAGTTATAACTAAATACAGATATGGCACCAAAGAAGAAAACAAAAGTAACTACGGAAGCTACTCTGATATTTCAATAGTCAATTTATTCATTTATTTATTTTTACCTGAAAAATAATTGAGCAATAAAAATGACATTTATAGCATATTATAATAAATATGTTAAAAGAATAGTAAAAGTAAAGACCGTGTAATGAGGCAGTAAAACAAACAAGTCCCTATATACATACCACTACAGCGTAATTACAACTCTAGAATTACATAGTTCGAGGTAAAAGTAAAGCAAATACTGTGACAAATGTTAATACTACCACTAATACTACTTTCTGTTTTTTGGATGTTTTCTTCTGCCCATAGAATTTGTTTAATGTACATAATGTAATAATCAGTCGGATATCGATCTCACAGCGAATACTTTTTGTGATACTACAACGTCTACTACTGCTCCAGTAGTTTCTACTAGTACATTAGTATTTATCATGTCATTTATGTATTTTAACTTATTGTTATGGAGTACTTTCTGACTTCCTTGTCTGTGAAAGGTGCTATATAAATAAACCTTACTTGCTACTACTGATACTACTACTGCTACTAATACCACTAGTACTACTACTGCTACCACTACTACGGCTTTGCTTTCTTGCTACTACTACTTATACTACTGCTGCTGCTAATACACGACAAGTACTACTCCTGTTACTATTACTACCATTGCTACTGCTTTGCTTGCTTGCTACTGGTACTACTACTAATACTACTGCTGCTACTACTGTTGCTGCTAATACTATTACCACTAGTACTACTACTACTATTACTGCCACTATAACTGCTTTGATTGCTTGCTACTACCAGTGTTGGGAGTAACGCATTATAAAAGTAACGAATTACTGTAATGCGTTGCTTTTTGCTGTAACGAATTACAGGGAAAAAAACTGTAATATTTTACTCAGTACAAATGTCAGTAATGCGCGTTACAATGCATTTTTAACCTGGACCGAAGTGGTGGGTTTTTTGTTTCTCTTCATATAAATTTGCTAAAGTCACCGCGATATCAGCAGTGGTGAAGCGCCTTCGTTATGGTTCCGAGTGTTGAGATGGACAGGACGGGAGATGCGCCCATGTAGACTGTGTAACCGTGGGCGAAAGGACCAGCACAGAGCACCGCCCCCCCGATTGCACTTTGCGGACACTACGGATTCTCTCAGGGGCGGTCCTAGATTTCAAGTCTTGGTCCTGGTTTAGACCTGGTTTAGACCTGGTTCAGTCCTGGTTCAGTCCTGGTTTAGACCTGGTTCAGTCCTGGTTCAGCTCTAGTTCAGCTGTGGTTTAGTCCTGGTTTAGTCCTGATCTAGTCCTGGTTTAGACCTGGTTCAGTCCTGGTTTAGACCTGGTTCAGTCCTGGTTTAGTCCTGATTTAGTCCTGGTTTAGACCTGGTTCAGTCCTGGTTTAGTCCTGATTTAGTCCTGATCTAGTCCTAGTTCAGTCCTGGTTCAGCTCTGGTTCAGCTCTGGTTCAGCTCTGGTTTAGTCCTGGTTTAGACCTGATTTAGTCCTGGTTTAGACCTGGTTCAGTCCTGGTTTAGTCCTGATTTAGTCCTAGTTTAGACCTGGTTTAGTCCTGATTTAGTCCTGGTTTAGACCTGGTTCAGTCCTGGTTTAGTCCTGGTTCAGCTCTGGTTTTGTCCTGGTTTAGACCTGGTTTAGTCCTGGTTTAGTCCTGGTTCAGTCCATATACGGCGCAAACGTTTGGCATCTTCGGTCGCTGATTGTCAAATAACAATAACAATCAAATAACAATCACTGACATTTATTTTGGTGAAAGTAGAGTAAAGTAAAAGTGCTGCAATAGTCGTGTAATGTCTTACATTTTAAATGCAGTAATATTGTAATGTAACAGATTATTCTGAAATGACACTAACAAGTCATAAATAACACATTATACTTTTGGAGTAACTTGCCCAAAAGTGGCTACTACTACTAATACTGCTGCTGCTGCTGCTAATATTACTACCACTACCACTGCTTTGCTTGCTACTCCTACTACTACAACAACAGTAATTCTATAACTACTACTTTACTTTATATCAGGTGTAGATCCTTGTGTTGGTGTGATACCTGCACATTTCCAAGTTCATGCCCGTCAGTGTTGTGGTGACTCAGTGTTGACTGTTTAAATACTGGGCTAATATTTGCTGACTGCAGTACTGAGCTGGAGGTCACATGTACTTTATGTTATCTACAGTATACAGTATCTGTATGTGTGAGAGAGAAACATGTCAGAGTGAGTAATGTGGATCAAGGAACAAGATGTACTCAACTCAAGACAAAAAGTGGTATATGAAAGTAATCTGCAAGGTTTTTATGAGCGATACTGTTATAATTTTGTATCTATTGCCACTTTTCTGCTGAGGTGGGTAGAGGTTCAACAAGTTACTTCAAAATAATATTACTGAAGTAGAAGTACAAGTAGTGGTCCAAGAAATTACTCAAGTAAGAGTCAAAAAAGATTTGAAAAGTACTACTGCAATTGGTAGAACAAACATTAAATAAAGCACACAATTACAATATTTTCAGTATAAACAAGGTATAGTATAGTATAGTATAGTATATGTATAGTATAGTATAGTATAGTATAGTATCATAAAGTAAGGTAAAGTAAAGTAAAGTCTAGAATAGATAAAAAATGACAAAATCATTTCATATTGTCAACATAAAGCTTTTGTCACTTTTAAACTTACAGTGGGAAAAGTCACAAAAACCTTTACCCAAGTACTGTTGCTTCAATAAAATACTACTCAAGTACAGGGGTAAAAGTATGCTGCTATAAAAGTACTCTGAAAACTAGATTTAAAAAAAAAAATATAAAATACTGAGTAAATGACCCACCTCTGCTTTTCTATGAGTGATGTACATTAATACATATAGTAAAATTGCAATAAAAAAGTTGACTCAATTAAAATATATTGTCACCCTTTTTACGTAAAATACATATTTTACAGAAATAGAATAATCTGACATTTCGATTTACATCTCTATATTACTGAATTAACAACACAGTCAATTTTCAACACTTTAAACAGGTGTCAGATCGTTTAAAAAACTAAATCATTTAAAAAATCCAGTTAAGCGTGAGAGCTATACTTGAGGCACAAACTAAAATTGCTCTTGCAAGCTGTCAAATAAATCAAGTCTCAATAATTAAATTATATCTTTGCAACTTTCCAAAAAAAGTTCGGCGTATAGTATAGTATAGTATAGTATAGTATATAGTATAGTATAGTATAGTATAGTATAGTATAGTATAGTATAAACAAAAAATTACAAAATCATTTCATATTGTCAACATAAAGCTTTTGTCACTTGTGGTCATAGTCACAGCGGGAAGAATCACCAAAACCTTTACCCAAGTACTGTTACTTCAATAAAATATTACTCAAGTGTAGGGGTAAAAGTATGCTGCTGGAAAAGTAGTCTGAAAAGTAGATTTAAAAAAAAAAAAAAAAAAAAAAAGTTAGTGAGTAAATATCCCACCTCTGCTTTTCTATGAGTGACATATTAATAAAAATATCAAAACTACACTAAAAAAGTTGACTCAATTAAAATATATTGTCACCATTTTTATGTAAAATATATATTTTACGGAAATAGAATAATCTGACATTTGGAGCTACATCTCTATATTGCTGAATTAACAACACAGTCCATTTCCAACACTTTAAACAGGTGTCAGATCTTTTAAAAAACAAGATCATTTAAAAAATCCAGTTAAGCATATGAGCTTTACCTGAGGCACAAACTAAAATTGATCTGCTCCTACAAGCTGTCAAATAAATCAAGTCTCAATAACTAAGTTGTATCTTTAAAACTTTCCAAAAAATGTTCCGCTTTGGCCAGTTGAAATGCATACTTTCTTAACTTATCTTCGCTTGAGTGTGAGTGTTAAATTTTAAGATATCATTTTTTTTATTTTATATACACTCAAAATGTGCAGATTAAAACAAATAATACACCACTTAAAACTTCACTGTGTTACTTTTCTTTACGGAAATCTTATTGCTTTGCTTGGAATGTTCATGTTCATATTCTGTAAAGTTTATCAGGCCAAGTTGCGCGTCAGATCTGTGGAGAGGCATGCTCGCTCACACTGTAGGTTTCATGTATTTGTTTTTTTTTACCCAATACAAATACCTATGATTCAATAAATGCAAGATTATATATAATACTGTTGTTACGATACTAAAATTTCAAACTTGACTTCGATACTAAGGAACAGACTTGATACTCAATACTGATTCCGATACCACATTTCGACAACAGACTGTGATTTTCAACATTAAATCAAAGTACTTTTTTTTATATTCCCATGTATTTTATATCTGTGTAATCCTTCAGTGGTCCAGGTAGGTTCCATAGTGGTCCATGGGTGTATACTAGTCTATATGGCCAGGGCCGTAGACAGAAATTTTGGGGGCTTGGGGCAAGACGTCTCACATGGGCCCCCCTCTAACATAAATTAATTTTGATTCCCCTTCTGATAAAGCTCAAGATCATTCTAAATCAGGGGTGGGCAAACTTTTTGGCTCGCGGGCCACATAGGGTCCTAAAGTTTGGCTGAAGGGCCGGACAGAAAATAAGACATAACGTGTTAAAGGTTGTATGGAGGATTTTTTTTTGTTTTTTTTGTTTCAAGTTGTCAATGATAGCATTATAGAGGTGCAGTAGCCTTGTAATTATGATGATGACCAAAAAAAAGAGAATAAAAATTCATCAACTCTGGACGTGGTGGGGCCAGCTAAACATTTGCCAATAGATAACGACACTGCCTCGTTATCTGTTAGCTGACAGGCTGTCAATCAATCTCCCTAAGTTTCTAGCATAACTGACTTGCCTGCGCGCCGCCGGTACGTGGTTTACGTACGTCTGTCACGCAGTCCACAGACGCAAGACGCACAGACGCTGTTTTACTCCACCAACGCAACAGTTCTTAGCGGCTTTTTTTGACCTATATCTTCCTCGCAGTTAGCACAAAGTTTGTTGCAATGGCGACAAGAATCCAGGACCAGTTCACCGCAAAAGAAAGTCCGTTTTTGAGGTCGCTGAAAGAAGAAGACAAGGGGAAAAGCAGCGAAGCCAAACTAAGGTGATTCTTGTAGATTCATTCCAGCGATGGCGCGACTGAAGCAGACGCAGGGTCTAAAGACTGACGCACTGGTCGCCAAATTACTCCTGGACAGGTCACTTCTGCTTATTATGAAAACGTACTTTATTTCCAAGAGCTAGACAAACGTTTTTCAGGACACGAAAGCGATATCCTATGTCTGAAAACGTAATTTTCAAGGCAAAGAAAGAGTCCGCTTGCTGCTGCGTGTTGTAGCTAGTTCATTCGCACTGAATCTCCGCGCAACCTTCTCTGCTCCCCTTTCCTACTCCTGTCCCCGCTGCCCGTTCCGCTCTTCCCCCTTCTCCTCACTTCTCCGGGCACGGAATCTCCGCGCACCGCTCTCCTCTCTCTCCTCTCTCCTCTCTCTCCTCTCTCCTCTCTCCTGCTCCGCTCTTCTCCCTGCTCCTCACTTCTCGTCCGCGAACGAAATGTCCGCACACCCGCTCCCCCCGCTCCTCACTTCTCCGCCTTGCCTAACCAACACTGTAGTTAGTTGTTTACAAGTCATGTGCAGCTCACCGGCTGTAAACAAACCTGTTTCTGGCGTAGTGAGGAGGCGGGAGAAGGCGTTTCTACGTAGGGAGCTGTAGGGAGGGGGGGGGGTTTCACGCATGCGCAACATTTGAAAAAGGACAAACAGTCGCTGGATTTCTCGTTCCTTGGAAAATCCTCTATACAACCTTTAAGAGCTCGACTTCATTACATCATCACGTTTATGTAGAACTTCAGACGCTTCGACATTTCTGTGAACGATTCAGACACATAAAAGTGAATAAATCTGTTCCACTGCACACGACAGGGAAATAAACATCATGAGCTCAACGTTGTAAAACTGGACACTATGAAGTTGCACATACTGACATTTACATCTCAGAATCTTCAAGTTTTCAAAGTTTCATTTTTACCACCTTAAGATGGAAGCAGTGCAGTCTTATAACTTGAACACAAACTACTTCACTCATGGTCCGAATAACTCCTGTAAGAACACTTTCCCATAAAGCATTGCGGCCAATATAATACGCCGCACCTCAACGTATATGTAATACGCCATCTACTGGGAAACGATGGAAATGCATGACAAATAAAACATCAACAAGGTTTATTTTTGTAAGTTCTTCCAGTTCGGCGGGCCGGATTAAAAGGTTTAAAGGGCCGTATACGTCCCCCAGGCCGTAGTTTGCCCACCCCTGTTCTAAATCTATTCAAGAAAGGTTCACGTCTCTCCTATGAATGTGATTTTTTTTTTAGTATCGGTTCTTGCTCTAATAAGTATCTAGTTTTGATACTAGTTTTAGTACTGATTAGTATCTGATTTTACATACTTTTAACAACAATACTACCTAATTGGGTGAGTTAAAACCAATAAAAATCACTTTGCCAGTCCTCTAAATGTTCTGTTTTCCCATGTTACAAAAGACAAAACAATAAAAAATAAAAATAAGGAAAATGCCCATGCTATATTATTATGTCAAGATCCAATATTTTATTTATTTATGTCAATTTTGTGTTTTTCTGTGAGCGTACAAAAGTTGTAATTACGGAGTTCCTTAGAGGCACCCTGTTGAGTAACTTTAAGCGTCTGTGTTCATTTGCCTTGAATACATATTTTCCATAGCTCAGCAAAATTTAGCAACAAAATTAGAGGCGTATGTGCAGGCCTGTCAACTGAAATTTGCCTCACGTGGGCCCCCCCTTTAATATAATTTATCAGTCCAATATTGAGCCTCTAAAAAAAACAGTCCGGGACAATAGACCTGTTTGTACCCCTGGTCTACTGCCCTGCGAACGTGACTCAAGATAATACAGTGTAAAATAAACAGTGGTGCTCAATTGTTACTCAAGTAAAAGTACAGATACTGGAGTAAAAAAATACTAAAATAAAAGTATTACATGAAAAAATCTGATGGAGGGTCTGTCGAATGCTTTTCTCCATGGAGATGTTATTGCTTTGTCCGGAATGTTCCACAATATAGATTAAACGTATCTATCATGCAAGTTACAGCACGACGCTACATTACAGTTCAGATCTGTGGAGAGTCGCCTCTATTCACAGAAGAAATGACTGTATTTTTGAGCAATAGAAACACCTGTAATGAATAAACGCTAGATGGAAATGTTTAATGTCATATCACGGAACATTCCAGGCAAAGCAACAGCATCTCCATGGAGACAAGTCAGTAGCAGACCCTCCACCAGATAAGTTGGGCAGTGAACCTTTACATAAAAGTACAATATACAGTATACCTGAGCAAAAAAGAAATTCAAGTGGAAGTAGAAGTATCACATGAAAGAATCTACTCAAGTAAAAGTATTGAAGTATCTATTAAAGTATTTTGCACAGATTTTGAGACATAATAAAACTTAATTGCATTGATTTTGATAAAGAATGTTCAGTTCTGATTAAAAATGTCATGCAGTAGAAAGTACAGATATGTAAAAGGTATCCATAAAATCTACTTACAGATACCTACCGGAAATGTATACTTAAAGGATTAAGGATGAGGAGTATTGTAGTTCAAAGTACTGCTAATTCTTTGTGGGTTTTGTATTAAATATTTTTTTGTGATACAACAGGTTCAAACACATCTTTGCCACGAGCAACTCAAATCCAACAGCTCGGATAAAAATAACACCTGAGTCACGTCCACTGTCCATGTAAACAAAGATACAACACAAAACTATTACAGGATTAAAGCAACATTGTGTAACTTTCTGGATTCACTGGAAATAGAAACATTCTCCACTCGATACGTACATATAGCCAAAACAACATGGAATCTATAAATGGGAGGTCAAATAAGAGTCAGGTTTGTGGAAATGCAAGCCTACTCACAGTAAAGACACATGTTTATCAGTGCAATAAAAAAAAAAAAAAAAAAAAAAAAAAAAAGACAAAAAAGTCAAACACTGGGGCTTTAATATGTTGAATATTTAAAAAAAGCATTTTTATTTTAATCACTAAATTTAACTAAAAAAAAAAAAGAGTTAACATTATTTTCCAATTCCTTAATATTTTTGATTTTTTTTTTAAATACAGTAATTTTACCTTATTATTATTATTATTATTATTATTATTATTATTATTATTATTATCTGAATGCAAAAAATATTGAATATAGCTGCACTTAGCTCTTTGCATTGCACTATTCAGCAACGCCACTCTCAAATAAAAACTTTGAATTTCTCTTGTGCAAAAACGCAGACCCGACCCTAATAACCTTTTGCAACCGTGCAGCAGCCACTCACCACGGCCAGCGTCAGGAACAGCAGCAGCAGCAGCACCTGTCGACGGGGGCACCCTGCCATGACTGCCCCGGGACTCCTCGCACTTCCGATGGATCTCACACTCTCTCCCTTTTCTTATCTCCTGGTCCCTGGTTCTGTCCCGCGAGCTCCGAAGTCGCTCTCTCTAATCAGGACCGAGGACACGCCCCTCTCCCCCTCCCCTGCCCCCCCCCCCCCCCTCCTCTTCCTCATGTGTGCGTCTCTGGTTTTAGTGTCACACGAAAACTCCTGGTGCATGTTTCGGAGAGGTGTGGTCGAAGCAGAGGAGCCCGGAGCGGATCTTCCTTCTTGATCAAACACTTTCTGACACTGACAGACGGAAGGAGAAGGGAGGGGTGAGGGTGGGAGATGGGGTGAGGAGAGGGGCAAAGAGAAAAAAAAAAAAAGAGAAGAAGAGCAAGAAAGGGGTGAGAGCAAGAGTTTAACTGTTAATTATTTACAAAGCATGAGAAATGAAGTTTGTCATATAAGTAGTTTTATCTATAGCCAAACGTTTGAACACACCTTCTCAATCAATATTTACGACTTTCACTCGAGATTCCAGAGGTGGGACTTGTTTTACGAGTCTCAAGTAAGTCTCAAGTTCTTGACCTCAAGTCCGCGTCAAGTCCCAAGTCAAAGACAGGCAAGTCCAAGGCGAGTCTCGAGTCCCTGGGCCATAAGTCCAAGTCAAGTCCAAGTTGTCTGCTTTGAATTTCAAGTCATTTCAAGTCTTTAAACCAAAGGACAAAAAATAGCTTAGATTTTTGCAATTTATATGAATTTTAAACTGCATTGTACTTAAAAAGTCATGGTGTATTTATATATGAGTATTTATATAAGAGTTGTACAGTTGTAGTTGTAGTTGTGTGAATCAGTCAGAACAGAAAAAAAAAATCTGATTAGATAAGAGTTATTTTGTTGTGTGTCTGAAATGGAATTATCCTGTTTTCAGTGGCGAAGTTAGGAATTTGGTGGCCCTAGGCGAACTTGAGTTTGGGGACCTCACTATAGTGCACTGTTTTTCAGTTTTGTTTTTGTTTTTTTAATATATATTTATTGTCTGTTTTTCCTCATTGTTCTAGAGACACACACATCTGTATTTATTTGAATTATGGTGGATTGGATTAGTTCGGTCGCCTACTAGATAACCAGAACTGAAAGTAGTTTTGTTTTTTGCTAGTACAATTACATGTGATTATTATTATTTTTCTTATTATTGTTTAAAAGTAAACTACTCTCATTTAATGTCATATTGAGAGAAAATCTAATTTTTCTGAGGCCTCGACTATTACTGGCACTGAGGGCAATTGGTTGGGGGCCCCTTCAGGTTTGGGGGCCTTAGTCAGTCACGTACTTTTGCCTTATGGTAGCGCCACCTCTGACCTGTTTTACTGAATTGTATTGTATATTACTGCATTGTACTGTATATTACTGTATTACATTTGAGTATCACGGTACTTCAGTTACATCCAAAGTACTAAACAGTAATGGGAGCGACATGTTCCAGTTTGTTTCTTTAAAATTCAGCACCGCATTTATCAACTGTAAAGAGAAAAGTATTTTTAAAATAAATATATGTATTTTTTAGGAGAAGCATTAAGTCTTCTCAAGTCACAGGGCTCAAGTCCAAGTCAAGTCCCAAATCTCCCTCTTCAAGTATAAGTCAAGTCCCAAGTCTTTGACCATTTTATCAAGTCAAGTCTCAAAAACTTTATTGATCAAGTTGGACTCCATAAAACTTGGACAAATAAATAAATAAATAAATAAGCTAATGGAATGATAGAGATTCTGGGTAACAAATTTTCAGTCAAATCAACCATTCCTAATCTTTCTGACTTTTATATGAATTTTACCTAGACTTTTTTTTGTTTGTCTGTTTTTGGGTTGTTGGTTTTTTTTTTTGGGCCTATTTATAAGTCCCCAAGTTTCTAAATCTCGTGTTCAGTGAGGTATGCTTCAGCTTTGACACGAAAATTGTCAAAACGCAGCAACAAATGCTCAGTCTTCTGTCTGTCACACCATCCCCAGGGCCACCTGCTGTACCTGTTCTTATATTTACCCCAAACACGCAGGTGGAATTTGAAATCTGACTTTCCTCTGTGTAGAGCTTGTTCCGACTTAAAATAAGAGTAGATCAGACAGAACCCAAAACTCCTTTTAATAAAATTCATTAGACACTTGATTGTCACTGTTAAGGCCCAAGAGTGCTCACGTAGTAACAAATATCAAGTCACAAAAACACTAGAAATACTGTATTGTGAAGTAAACATCTTCAACTCACTCCCACAATTTCTCATCTTGGGGACGAGGACGGTTAGTTTCCATAAATTGGGTAGAGACTCTTCATTTTCACTCGGGAGTAGCTATGTTGGAATAGTTGAGATTTTGTGAGCTTTGTACTGCAGCCTTGTCTCTGATCAGAACAGAAATAAAGTTTTTTTTTATTATTATTATTTGGATTATCATGATCATTTGTACATTTTTGTGGTGTTTTTGTACTGTCTTGGTTTCATTGTTGGTGTGAATGTGGTGCATGTACGTCCTGTCTGTTTTCTGTATGAAAAAAACAAAACCAAACTGCATTTATAGCCTGACCCAGGAAGAAAAGTTGCTGTTTTTCAGTAGCTAATGGGGATCTAAATAAAAACAAACAAATAGACAAACAAACTAACTAACAAACAAACTCCAGAGCCTCAGCTTCACAAAGAATCAACCCATTTGTTTGTGCTCCAAAAGGTTTAGAAACAGATTCAGTTTGAAGTGAGACTCATTTTATTCAGACGTTTCAGGAAACACAGGCCATAATGATAAAGGGATTATCAAATCAAGAGTCAGTTCATTGTATTAGTTCACTTCAGACAACACAACCTAAATAATTGCAGTCTTTGTGATTTGGTAATTGCCTATTTTGAAATTCTAACTAATTTTACAACTCTAATTACTGGTTAAACTCATTAGAATTGTATAGCGTGTGAATAATGAGATAATACAGATGCAGTGATTATTCCCCTCTCATGTCTCTCTGTGACTCACCACTGTCACTCTCTGCTGTCATTCTGCTCTGTTTTGCCTCAGGTACATTTACTGAAACCAGATCTGTCACCAACAATCCAGGAGTTTCCAATGAAAATAAAAACAACTAAACGCCCTTCTGTGTAACTGTGATAATCCAGTGTTATAATAATAAAAGATCTGATGCGTATTTTACAAACTCTTTGGAATTTCATCAGAATGTAGGTTTAGGTGGCGGTAGATAGTGTTTGTCCACTGATCAAAAGGTTGATAGTTCAAATCCCGGTCTCCACATAAACAGCATGGGCTGAGCAATCAGAGCAACTGCAATTCCAGCTCCGACAGATGATTGCTGTTGTTGTGTCCTTGGGCAAGACCTCTAGTGTCTGTGTACATTGGTGTATGAATGTGTGTGTGAATGGTTCCTTGATGTAAAGTGCTTTAAGTGCCTTGAAGGTGGAAAAGTGCTGTATAAAAATGTGACCATGACTATTTGCCAGTATACGGAAGCTGGCAGGGCTCATAACAAACGCGACAACACAACAAAAAGACACAACAAGCCAAAAAAAGCCACAACAGAAGTGACTCTATTTTATTACAAACGCTGCAACAAATGCAAACGCCACAACACGACGCCACCACGGAAGTGACTTTATTTTCCCACAGACCAAGCGAAGGTCAGACAGTCTACAGTCCAAAACAATCAATTACTTTTCACATACACTAAAATGGCTACAGTTTTTTTTCGCGATATTTCCGGAGGAGCAGACCCTCCGATTATTGGTCCTTAGAGTTACAGTTTGCAGAAAAAACACCAAGAAAAAGTATGGCAGACGATGTCAGGTTCAACCCATTTTTGAGGCTTTGGCTCCCCAACTATAGCTCAGTTGGTAGAGTGTTTGTCGACTAATCAAAAGGTTGCTAGTTCGAATCCCGGTCTCCACATAAACAGCATTGGTAAAGCAATCAGAGTGAATGGTCACATTTTTCTATAGCGCTTTTCCACCTTCAAGGCACTCAAAGTGCTTTACAACAAGGAACCACTCACCCATTCACACACCAGTGTACACAGACACTGTGGGCAAGGTGGGTTAAGTGTCTTGCCCAAGGACACAACGACAGCATTCATCTGTGGGAGCTGGAATCACACCAGCCAACCTGTGGGTCAGTGGATCTGACCGCTCAACCTGAGATGTTTATGTCGAGAGCTGGAATCAAACCGGCAACCTTCAGATCAGTGGGCGAATGCTCTACCAACTACTGCCGCTGCCCACTGTCACTCTCTGCTGTCATTCTGCTCTGTTTTGCCTCAGGTACATTTACTGAAACCAGATCTGTCACCAGCAATCCAGGAGTTTCCAATGAAAATAAAAACAACTAAACGCCCTTCTGTGTAACTGTGATAATCCAGTGTTATAATAATAAAAAATCTGATGCGTATTTTACAAACTCTTTGGAATTTCATCAGAATGTGGGTTTAGGTGGTGGTAGATAGTGTTTGTCGACTGATCAAAAGGTTGATAGTTCAAATCCCGGTCTCCACATAAACAGCATGGGATGAGCAATCAGAGCAACTGCAATTCCAGCTCCGACAGATGATTGCTGTTGTTGTGTCCTTGGTCAAGACCTCTAGTGTCTGTGTACACTGGTGTATGAATGTGTGTGTGAATGGTTCCTTGATGTAAAGTGCTTCAAGTGCCTTAAAGGTGGAAAAGCGCTGCATAGAAATGTGACCATGACCATTTGCCAATATATACGCTCTTAACAAACACAACAAAAAGGCACAACGGAAGTGACTGCAGGACTCTATTTTCCGACAGACCTATCAATGGTCAGTCTACAGTCCAAAACAATAAATTACTTTTACTTACATTTCCAATGTCGTTCACTTCTCCTTTCGTTTACTTTTCACATTCTTGTTCTTCTTCAACTTTTCTCATTCACTTTCCGCTTGATCCTTTAACTCTTTGCTTGGTCTGATGGAAAACAGAGTCCCGCGGTCACTTCCATTGTGGCTTTTTGTTGTGTTGTGGCGTTTGTATTTGTTGCGGCATTTGCATTAAAATAAAGCCCCGC